CATCCACAGGATCGAGGAGGGACACCTGGCCGTGTACTACAGGTGAGCGAGCGAGCGAGCGCCCCGAGGCGGCCGCGCACGCGCCGGTGGTCCCGGGGCAGCGAGCGCTGCAGCCCTCGGAAGGGCTTTCGTCCCAGCTGCTGGCACAAGTCACCTGTGGCCGGGCACCTTCGGGTGCCGGGCAGCTTAGGGCCAAGTTGGTTCTGTGCAGAGCTGGAGACTCCTAAGGAGGGAAGGAAGTTGTCACTGCAACCTAGATGACTTGAATTCTAACTCGTAGTCCGAACAACTGTACAGGTGTTTGCTTTGCCACTGTAGATGATGCTTTTCGGGATCTCTGGTCCTTCTTCAAGTTGTTTTTTTATTTTGTTTTGTTTTGTTTTTTGCTTTTCGAGACAGGATTTCTCTGTGTAGCTTTGGACTTCAAGGCTTTTTTTTTTTTTTTTTTTTTTTTTTCTTTCTTTAAAAATTTTTAGTATATCTGGTTATGTCTCCCAAAATCTTAATGAACATGACACTGGTGTGTCCCTAAAGTCAAAAGAGACAAAAATCACATTTATAGGCCACCTTTCCCCCTTTTTTCCAAGTCAAGCTGAGGAAGAGTGTGGTCAGTGTTGCCGCCTGGTTTACTCGGCATAGCTTTTCTTCGGTATGAACTACCACCTGCTCCTTTTGGTATGGACAAATCGGGATAGGAGTTTGTTTAGAAAAAGCAGATTTCTGCTTATTTCCATCACTCCCCCCCCCCCCCCCCCCCCCCCTACTTTTAGATCCCTCCTGAGTCCTAGAAAAAGTACGATTTTGGTGGTATGTCTTAACAGATGGAATTCTAGCATAAGAAGTGCCAGCCTGGACCACATTTCTGTCCAGCTTGTCATTTTCCTTCCAACAGGGGAACCACAAAGAGAATATATGAAGATATTACTCCCCCCAAAATAAGTGATGAACCTGAAACAGTTTATCTTTTTAATTATGACTTTCAAACCTGTTTGTACATTCAGGGCAAGGATCAATGTGTGAATTTACTATTCATTGAATAAAATAGGGCTTTTTTGATGTATTTGTCCCTAAACACCTATTCTTCATCATTTCCAGGGGGTGTTTTCAAAGTCCACATGGTCCAGAATCTGATGAACAAATGTGTGTCTCACCTATACTCTGAATCCTCTTGCCATCCATCTTTCCATGCTTTTTTTTTTTTGTTTCCTTTATACAGACAGAAGCTCTGTCCTAGGATTTTAATGATGTATTAAAAGAGTCATTAGCCTCAGAAATTTTCCTCCTTTGAAAATTTGCTTTCCTCTTTTTTAAAACTTAGTGATTAGATGTATTGTTTTGACTTGGCCTCTTGTTATGTGCAATTAAGATACCTTAATTGAGAGTCATTAGAGTTTTTCCATAAGTATTTGTCAGAAAGCTAAAGACCTACCGGAGAGGATGTGGGCCCAAGAGCAGTGCTAGAGACCCAGTGGTGTGGTTGGTGGAGCTTATGAAACAAGGTGCAATATTGGCAGTTGACTTTGATGTATTTTCACATTTTTAAGTGTGATGGATGTTTTAAGTAGCAGTTGTTAATCTTGAGTAACTCTGTTGTAAGGCCATTAGGTTAGTAACATGAGTAACAGTGAATGTTTACTATAGCATTTTAGAATTGGGAAGAGAATTTCTCTTACTTGCAGTTTTGTCAACCACGACATCTTTTTGCAGGGGCGGAGCCTTACTAACTAGCCCCAGTGGACCAGGCTATCATATCATGTTGCCTTTCATTACTACGTTCAGATCTGTGCAGGTGAGTGACTCCTAGGGACTCCAGATAGACAGGTGTGACAGGAGTTACCACACTTGTGGGTGGAGATGGATTTCCTTATTGCTTAAGCAAATGTTGTTATTTACTTAATGTGGAGTGAAAGTTCAGAGTACAACTGTCCTAACACAAGCATTGATTTCAAACCTTCTTGCCTTAAAGTGAGTTGAAAGTATGCATTAGGCAGCTTATCAAGACTTACTCCTGCCATCTATACAATGGTGTTAGCAGGTTTTCTGTTACTTCAGTCAAAATAAAAGTAAGAAGTGGGAACACAATTAGGAATACAAATCAGTAATTACTTGGTTTAGAACTGTTTGGTTTCCATAGAGGCAGGCTCCTAGGCTACTGTTAACATGGAGGAATGAATTTTTATACACAGCTTTTCGGGCCTCACATTTTTGCCTGGTGCATTAAACACAAATTTATGAGGAACCTGAGTGCATATGGTACTTTAACATTTTAGGATATTTGAATTAAGTATCTGGTTCTTGCATAAAGTATCTTGGCCATAGGACACAGTTAATAAATAAGCTTGATATTACAAGATGGCAAAATAGGATTAGGCTCTAACTAATTTTGCAAACTCAGTGATATCATAAATCTTTGAATTCTGCTACAGATTTTTCAGGAAACAGGAAAAGTCAATTTTATTAATATTATCACTGAAATTTTCAGCTTTGTGCTAAGTAAGAGTTATCATGAATAGCTAACTCTCCCAGGTTTCTTTCCAGTCCCCTTTTAGGGCTTGTGCCTAGTAAGGTGAAATATGGTAAACATGATTTCTTTCTCTAGTCACAGTGATTCCAAGATTGGCCTCCCATATTTTATTCATAAAGTTTTTTAAAATTTAAAACCATATTTTACATATAGTAATATAGTTTACATGTTAAACAGCATTATGATAGAATGAATTGATACATTTTTTAATTTATTTATTTTTACTTTATGTGCATTGGTGTTTTGCCTGCATGCTTGTCTGTGTGAGGGTGTAAGATCTTGGAGTTACAGACAGTTGTGAGCTGCCATGTGCTAAAAATTGAACTCTGGTCCTATGGAAGGGCAGTCAGTTCTTAACCAGTGAGTCATCTCTTCAGCCAGAATTGATATAGTTTTCAACAAAAGGAAAAAAAGTGAAATGTGTTAGGTAACAAAACCTCTCCCTTAGAAAAAAATGTTTATGTTATTTTGTAATCAGTATGACAAATGTATCCAGTGACTAATAATGTCCAATTCCTATTGCACTTTCTGTTCCTTCTTGTCTTGGTTAATGTTGTCATTCTTTGTTCACTATCTCTTCTTCTTTCTACCGCCCTAATCTTGCAGTCTTTATAGGCTCATCCCAGTCTCTTTCCTCTTATCTTAGCTCCCCAGCAACTCTTTACTAGTCTGGAAGTTAGCAACAGCATCATCAGACTCAGAGATCAGGTCTTCTTAGGTCTTGTTCAAAGCCAGGTAAATCTGCCTTTGCCTTCCTGAAACTCACTGTTAAGTATGGTGCAGCAATAACATAAAGTAGATATAAATAATAATAGTAAATAGATTTTAATTATATGTATGTAGCAAATGTGCATGATAGTAATAAACCGTCAGAGATGAAGTGAAATTAATAAAAAGATTTCAACATAAAGTATTCTAATTTGCATGTTTAGGTTGTTAATTAATTAAAATTATATTTTAGAGCCAGTGTAACAAAATAGGAATGTTCTTTCTTGTGTTAAAAAAAAAAAGCATTCTCGGCAAGAATTGTATTAATAAAACTTTTTTTAAAAACTTTATTTTATTTTTATTTTGTGTTCATTGGTGTTTTGCCTGCATGTATATCTGTGTGAGGGTATCAGAAGCCCTGGAACTGGTATTACAGACAGTTGTGAGCTGCCATGTGGGTGCTGGGAAATGAACCCGAGTCTTCTGAAAGAGTAGCCAGTACTCTTAACTGCGGAGCCATTTCTCCAGCCCCTTAAGAAACTGAAACTTTTCTTAAGAACAATCATAAATTTGTGTTTGGGGACTTGGGGAACATATTGGGAGATGCAGTTCTATTTAAACAAATGGTTTAACAGAATTGATAATTGAAAGGACTAATGTACAATGGATGTGAAATTCCATACATAAGATACAGAGACAAAGCAGTGCTTAGAGAAATTATATAAAGTCCATCAGCCTTTATACACTTTATAAAATAAACATTCACTTTCCCCTCTTTTTATTGAGACATGTTTTAGTGTATAGTCCAGCCTAAACCCAAACTTGCAGTGCAGTCTCCTGAGGGCTGTGATTACACATGTTTGCCACCATGATATTTCTTTCATATTGGGAAAATAATTAGGTGTATAGAAATACATAGGCTAGGATATTAAATTGAAAAGTTATTGTTTAACTCCTAGTTTTTCTTGTTTGAAAGTTGGCATAGAATAGTGAAAATTGCCTTAATTTAATGCTTTGAAAGAAATAAAATACACTGAACTCATTTCTATATCAATCTTCTCCCTCACTTTGTCTAGAGTTATCTCTGGTTAGCCCCATTAACACTAATCTCTTAACCAAAGACTTAAATGTTACCTTTCTGTGCTGCAACTGTATATTCAACCAGTGATCACATCTTTCCTTTATTATATCTCCAAGATTGACATTTTTCAGTTTTCATGGCTTTGCTAACTTATCCTAGACAGATTACTTCTTTAGCTTCCTAGCTGGTTTCCTTGCCTCTCAGGAAGCTGAATAACAACTGTGTAACATGATCAGAAGAATTCAGGAACACACCTTTTCCCCTTGCAGTGCTAAGAGATCAACTGTAAGGCTTAAACCCAGAACGTTGAGCATTCTAGGCACGTCTCCACCACTGAACCTTTGTCTTCTCTATTTTCTTCCCTTGGACTGGGCCTTGCTATTTCCCCACGTAGTCTGAAACTTGCACTCTTCCCACCTCAGCCTCCCATATAGCTGGGATTATAGGTCTGCATGACCACTCCCTGCTCTGACAAATTTTTTTTTGATAGGTTCATTTTATGATTGTGTATAACATGGATTAAAGAGCACATAAACTGTTCAGCAAGTATTCAAGGCCCTCAGCCTAATATTACTGTTTTCTTTTCCAGAATTTACCACTCATCTGAGTAGTGCCTTCTGTTTCAGGCAAACCAGTCTGCTTTGGGTGTGTACTTCTGTCTTCTGCTGTGTGTATTTGAATAGGACATTAGTTGAACTTAAAATGTCCCTCTTAAGTTTCTCCACTTCCAAATCTGTCTTCTTTTTTTGTTTTTGTTTTTTTTCCCAAGGTTTCTTTGTGTAGTCTTCGCTGTCCTGGACCTCTCTTTGTAGACTACAAAGAGATCCACCTGTCTCTGCCTCCAAGTACTGGGACTAAAGGTGTGTGCTACCACCGCCTGGCTAGATCTATTAATATTTAATTTTGGAGATTTTTTTCAATGTTTTTATTTTTTAATTTATACATATTTGTATGTGCCAACTTGTCTGTGCACTATGTTGTGTCTGCAGAGGCCAGAAGAGGCATTGAATGTGCTGGAATGGGAATTACAGGCAGTTGTGAGCCACCCTATTGGTACTAGAAACCAAACCCAGGTCCTTTGAAAGAGTGTTACGTACTTTTAATTGCTGGGCTATCTCTCTCTTTAGAGCTTTTAAGACTGGTATTTCATTCCTTGTAATAATACCTAAAAGTTCGATTTATACTGTTATTTTTTTACTTACTGATAGGTTTCTTTGTAAGAATTTTATTTCCTATGCTAGTATCAGAGTTCATTCTGATACAAAGAAAGGTATGATGTGGCAAAGCAGTTAAGAATCAGATTATTGGTTCACTAAGGAGGAAGCAGTGTTGGTGTTGGCACTTATATTAGAAGGCAAACTGAACAGAACATGTGAGAGAGCAATAGGTCCTAAAGCAAAACATTGACTATAGCTTTGCTGTTGAGTTCAAAGGTAGCTTTGGTTCATAAAGTACTTGTGTGCAGAAATAGTTACTTATCATCATTGTAAACAGTAATAGTCAGGAATCAAAAGTTCAGAGCACAGACCTTAGTCGTAGTGCCACTTGTAAGTGAGCTGTGTAGTTTGCCATCTCAAGCTCTAGGCAGTAAGATACTTAAGAAAGAATTTTCCTGCCTACTAGTTGATAGGATATTGAATATTTCCTAGTGCATTTTGAATCCAACCTTTCTTAGAAAACATGTAGTACTCAAGTCTCTGTAGAGAAATGGCTAACTCAGTAGCTGATATTTGGAGGCTGAAGTCATGTCTGGGCTGTCTTGTATTTACCAGGGGCAGCTCTCTAGAGTTTCCTCTGGGATCAGTTGGGTGGGTTTGTTTATTTGTTTGAGACAGGGTCTCTGTATTCCTGACTGTCCTGGAGCTTACTGTGTATACCAGGCTGCCCTTGAATTCACAGAGATCCACCTGCCTCTGTCTCCAGAGTGCTGGGATTAAAGGCATGAAGCACTATACCTGGCCAGATCAGCAGTATGTTGTAGGGTTTTGTTGTTGTTTGTTTTGTTTGTTTTTTGAAACAGCGTTTCTCTATGTAACAGCCTTGTCTGTCCTGGAACTCTCTGTGTAGACCATGCTGGACCATGCTGGCCTCAAACTCTCAGAAATCCTCCTGCCTTTGCCTCTCTGCCTCTCTTCCTCTCTGCCTCTCTGCCCCTTTGCCTCTCTGCCCCTTTGCCTCTGCCAGGATTAAAGGCCTGCAAGCTTTGATGAACTTTTTTTTTTTTTCCTTTCCAGACAACACTACAAACCGATGAAGTTAAAAATGTGCCTTGTGGAACAAGGTAAGCTTCCTCCTTTGTGACCCATTACCGCCCTTTATTTTCTTTAGTTGTGATATTTTTAGAGCAGTAGTCACTTGAGAAACCTTTGTTTGTTGTTTTATTTTGTTTTTGAGTCAGACAGACTCTCATTATGTGGCCCTGGATGGCCTGGGACTTAGTATGTAGACTAGGTGGTGTCAAACTAGAAACAGTCCTACTGCCTCTGCTTCCCAAACCCTGAGATTATAGGTATATGTCACCATGCCTGTCTAAGACACTTCTGTATAGGCATGACAGCAACAGAGATTTCTGTGCTGTGAGGTACTTGGGTGAAATTGCAAATGGGAGCATTCCATTTTAGGGTATTGAAAAGAGTGGAGTTATACAGACTGACTGTATATTAGCATTACCACACCTGTGTTGCTATTTTAATTGACAGGAAAATGAAGCAGAAAGTATACGCTTCACATAGCTCTTGCCTTGCGCTGATACCTTGATTAGCTTCTTTAAGCTTAGTTCCCTAAAGTCAGGGAATAAGACCTATGCTACAATTATTCTAAGAATTTGAATTTGTGTATGTGGCTCAAAACTTGTCTCTGAATTGATGCTCAATAAAAGATTACTTTAAGACAAAATTATTCCACTTCTCTTTATAATGTTAAATGTCATCTAAGTGAGAGTTTCTGAGTCTGTAGGTCTTTAATAGAATTTATGATTCGAATGAAGTCCCTGAGTAATGCTTTTCATCTAAAGGCCTGTAAGAATTGCTGCCCTAAAAAGGCTGAGGGCAACAAAGGAGACAAACAAAGATTGGGTATCACTAAAATATACTTACTACATTAAATTGTATCACGTGAGGAAAGTGAAGTACAAGGCATTTTTTAAATTGACTAGTTTAAATGACTCAAAGTATTGCTTTTACAAGCTTAAAAAGAGGGACAGATACATTTTAAAAGTGACCATGCTCTCTTACGTTTTAAGTTAATATATCAAAGTTCTCCTTAGGTTTTAAGTTAGATTATCAAGTTCCCCCTACGTCTATCTATAACTTTTTAGTAGTACTTTACTGCTTTTATTGTGGCTCTGGCTCACACTTCTGTTTTTCTTTGTTCATTTGTTTTTAGTGGTGGAGTCATGATCTATATTGACCGAATAGAAGTGGTTAATATGTTGGCTCCTTATGCAGGTATGTTACCTATCTACTGTGTTTGTACAATTATAACTAGGGTATTTATAACTGAGGAAGGAGTAGGAAGGTACTTTTTAAAGTTTTACCACCTCAGTGACTACTGATGAATATAAAAGAATAATCATAAATATTTCCAGGAAATAGAGGTAGAAACACGTCTCAAGTCATGAATAGAATTAGTTTTCAGTAATCTTTTGAGCTACTCCTCTCTTAATTTACTGTTAAAATTAGCAAGTGTTTGTAGAGAAACTAGCATTGTATGCAGGCAGAATTTCTTTGTATCCTAAAGATCTATAACTAATGAATTTTCTTGGGTCACACTCATTTGTCATTGTAGAAAAATCTTTTCTAGTTGAGATTTGCCATAACTTGAGGCAGTCTAAAAGTCTGAAGTATAAGAAAGCATTTTCTTAGTAAAAGAAACCCTCACAGAGATAAAGTGGATGAGTGTTCTTTAAAAACAGGGCTGTGGAGGGAGATGGCTCAGTTAGTTCAGTGCTTGCTGTGCAAGCATGAGGACCTGAATTCAGTCCTCAGCACCAAAGAGTTTAGTATAGTGTTACGCACATATAATTCCAGTGCCGAGGCAGGAAGCAGAAGCAGGAAGATCCCTGAGCTTCAGTGGCTAGCCAGTCTAGCCTAACTAGTAAGAGACCCAAGAATGACACCTGAGATTGGCTTGTGGCGTGCGTGCGAGTGTGCATGCGTGCGTGCGTATGTGTATGTACACACGGAGGTGCATGTGCATCACATGTACATACAACAAGAAACTTGATGGCAAGTTTTGAGTGTCTGGTCTTCATCCCTATTAATGAATTGGCATGTCAAGTAAACCAATGCCATGTGTTTTGCAAGAGCATTGAAAACGTGAAATGGCAGCCTCTGCCTTTCAAGTGTTTTCATTGTACTTGAAAACACATGATAGGGAGGGGAACCAGATGCTGAAGTGTAGGATCATGTTAAGTTTCACATCACTCGCAGAGACACAGATCATGGAAAGATTTCAGAGTAAAGAGTTGCAAGTATATCATTGTCAAGTGGTTTTGAATGATATTTTTTAGAGGTTATTTTCCTCATTTTTTTTTCATCTTCAGTCAGCCTTCCATATTTGTGGCTTATGCAGTCATAACTTCAACCAAGTACATATCAAAAATATTCAGGGAAAATCTTTACTAAATATATATATGAACTTTCCCCCTGTCATTATTCCCCAAATAGAGTAGTAGCTATTTATATGGTAAATTATGTTGTGTAGTCACCTAGATATGATAGACGTATACAGGTCGATATGCATTTTATATGCAGTTACTACTCAGTTTAATATAAGAGACTTTATAGTCTTGGAACCAACCCCACCCCCCACCCCACCCTGTACCAACAGATGACTATGTGTTCCCTGATTACGAATCGCTGGACTGGATTATGATTCAGAATTGAAAAAGAGGAAAACTGATGGCTCTCTCTCTAGAGACAGACATACTGTTAGATCACTGGTTCATTTGGAACATGATGAAGCTGTATATTTAGAAGTTATTTATCAACAGCTGTTCCATTAACTATGGCCTAAAATCCAATTGCATCTAATATCCTATGTAGGAAGGCCAGTGGAGCAAGTATTTGGGTGTGAAAATAGATGCAGAAGGCAGCGTATTTTTTTAGGTAGAACATAGGTTTCTGACATGTTCTAGTATGTACCTTTGGGGATATTTCTGAAAGTTTTGGTTCTTAGTTTCCTAAGATGGAAAATTGGGGGTAGGGGGCAGGGTAAATTAAGCACCATTGTATATGTCACCTGATAAAAAGTCTAGTAAATGTTAGCTCCTTCCCTGGTATCCGGAGACTTTAGTGCAAGCCTTTAAAACTATGCTTGAAGGTCTGCTCAAGTAAAAATCACCTTTTAAAAAATTATACACATATTTTTATGTTTTAAATTGCACATGTCTGTATTTGCAGCAGCTTCCTTTTATTCTTGCTGTTCTTCAGTTCAGTCTTTATGTCTTGACTACAGTTTTGCTTTGCAATAATTGCTTATACTCACCACTACACAAGTACACATCTGACTGTGACATTCCTTCCTTGGTGTTGACAATTCATCCTTTCCTTGGTGTGAAATGTGAAATGTGAAGTATATTTCTTAAATATAAGAAAATGTTAAATTGAGCCCAAGAAGTGTAAAATCTGTGAGTTGTGTTTTACGTTTTTACTAGTTTGTTGATACTTTTCCTCATGGATAATATATCACTTTAACTTTATCATTGCTGAATTTGAAGATGCTTAGGTCATTGTGGAGTGAAACAAACATGGGTTGTATTCTCTCTCCTTCAGTGTTTGACATTGTGAGGAACTACACTGCAGATTATGACAAGACTTTAATCTTCAATAAGATCCACCATGAGCTGAACCAGTTTTGCAGTGCCCACACACTTCAAGAAGTTTACATAGAATTGTTTGGTAAGTGTTCATTTGTTTTAAATATATAAGTAGATATTAGTGATTAGAAATCTTATTAACTTGAATATTGATGTTGTAATGTTAGTAAACCTCTCCCTCCCTGCCTCTCCTCTCTTTCTCTCTCTCTCTCTCTCTCTCTCTCTCTCTCTCTCTCTATCCCTCTCTCTCTCTTTCCCTCTCTCCTTCCACCTCCCAAGTGCTGAGATTAAACGCATGTGCCACCACACCCCACTTAAATGGTAATTTCTAATATAAGGAATTAGAAAAATCACCGGGCGATGGTCGCACACACCTTTAATCCCAGTAGAGTACTCAGGAGGCAGAGGCAGGTGGATCTCGTTGAGTTCAAAGCCAGCCTGGTCTATAGAGTGACTTCCAGGACAGCCAGGACTGTTTCACAGAGAAACCTATCTCAAAAAACCAAAAAAGAAAACCAACAAACAAAACAAAAGAATTAGGAAATCTTTATTCACATGCTATGTTCTATTTCCATTATATTTTTTTAAAGCTTAGAAGTGTATGTTTGGGAGTGTGCTGGTTAGTTGTATATCTGCTTGACATAAGCTAGAGTCATTTGGGAAAGGGGGCCTCAGTTGAGAAAATGCTCCCACACTGTCGGTGATGCCACTTCCGGGTTCAAGGTCCTGGGTGCTGTATAAAAGCAGACTGAGCCAGACACTAAGCAGTGTTGTTCTGTAACTTCTGCTTCCATTACTGCCTCCAGGTTCTTGCCCTGCCTTAACTTTTTAGTGATGGGCTGTAATCTGTGAGAGGAAGTAACTCTTTGCTCAAGTTGCTTTGGGTCATGGTGCTTTGTCACAACAACAGACACTAAGACACTTCCTGCAATTGGGATTCAGGATTTGTTAGGAGGACAGGCAGGACCCGGCATGTAGTTTTATTCACAACCATGATTATTACACATAAAGGATACAGATTAAAAAGTAGCAAAAGCAAAAGGTATAGTGGTAAAGTCATAGAATCCTGTCATAGTGAAGTCACACAGGGTGTGCTTAATTCCGTTAGTAACAAGGTACAAGCACTATAAAAAAAAATGTTTACTGCTGGGCAAGCTCATTACCCACTCAGCACCTAGCAATTTCACTGGGGCCTGATCATATAGACACCCTCTGCCAACCACATGACAAACTTCTAGGCTCCCTAAGAAAAGCTAGTGTTCAGCACAAACTACTTTGTATAAACAGGCACAGTGTGATACCTTTTACCAGTTCTGGCATGGTGTTGGGAGCCCTGTCCAGATCCAAACTTCTAAGACAAAGGACTACAGAAATAGGCCTACTGTGTTACCGTCCTTCTGTAAAAGTTTTCACTTGAAACAATGAAAGTTCTAACCAGGGAATTGGGATTGTTGCCTTTAGTATTCACCTCTCCTTCCTGGAATTCTTAGTTTCTCAGAGTGAGGTATGGGAATGGTTAATCAATTTAAAGTTTACCAGTTGAGGGACTGACAAGATGGCTCAGTGAGTAAAAGGGCTTGCAATCAAACCTCAGTTCAATCCCCAGGCTCCACATATTGGAAGGCGGGAGCCAACAACACATAAAATAAATAAAATATAATTAAACCAATTGCTTTCTTCTGATGATTGACAACTGCTACAATGCCAGACTTGTCACATTATGGTAGCTTTAGTAATGGTGAAAGTACCATTGAGGTGATTAAAAATTCATCCATTGTAAGGTCAAGTAAAGTTCCAGCTTCTTTGTGGTCTAACTTACCTTTGTTTCAAAGATTTGCCTCTTTTTAAATTCTTTTTTTAAGTCCAAATCGATAGTAAGATGGTAATCAGCAGAAAAGGCATTTAGCTATTGGGGCATTTATGAGAATCACGATACATAGGCCAGATGTGGTAGCAGCATATCTATGATCCCAGCACCTAGAAAGCTAAGGGCATTGTAAGTTTAGACCAATCTGAGCTATACAAGGAATAAGGTATGCATTAAGAAGCTAAAGACTCAGCTCCTTCTTTTATTCAAAAACTGTTTTTAACCAATAATTATTAACCTAGTAAAAGTGTAAGTTACCCAATAAATGCAGTGATCCAAAGTTAAGTTGCATTTACTGAATAAACATTTTGGGGGGTAAACTTAGAATGGCTGTCCTATTTCTTCCTTAATAGGTAGTTTCTCAAAAAGAAGAATGCTTCATATTCATCTCACTTATACTTGAAAAATACTTTACTTATCAAGATGTTTAAGCTCTGTGAAAGAATAAGACTGGAATCAATGTCTCTCCTGACTGGTTTTGTTTTGCTGTTAATTAAAAATAACTGAATATCATGAGATTTGTTGTTCTTGGCTTCAAAAACAGATCAAATAGATGAAAACCTGAAGCAGGCACTGCAGAAGGACTTAAATGTCATGGCCCCAGGTCTCACTATCCAGGTAAGCTCAGGAATTTCTTGGGACATTCTGGGGAGTTTTCTAGAGCTTCCAGTTGAATGCTTTCTTGTGGTTGGTTATGCAGTTACTTAATCCAAACACTATGATATTTTGACTTTACAGCCTTGTGGAAATAAGAAAGTATGCTGTGTGGTATTTTCTGGTGAATTTTTAGGAGGATAATCCAAAACTCTAATATAGAACTAGGTTCATATTTCTACCAAGTGTGAGTTCTTTTTAAACACAGTAATGGTTATTAACCAGTATAAAAGTATACCTTGCCTTCAATAGCACCATGAAAAAGGAGTTCAGATACAAAAAACAACAGTTGTAGACAAAATAGATGTCACAGAGCATGAATTGACAGGGGATCTATTGGGCGGTGATTGCTATAAGAGTGTTGCAAAAATAAGAGGCTATTTTCAGAGAGCACACCTGAGGACTTAATTCAATTAAGGTTCTAGGTAAATCTGGACCTTTTCATTAAATGCATATGAAAAAAAGGAGAAAAGTATTTCATGTCAGGCATGGTGTTGTTACTCAGATGCAGCTGAGCTCCTTTCCTTTTCTCATATTTCTTAGTCATTTCTCTGTTCCCATTAGTGTACTGAACCAAGACATGTTCTTATGTACAAAGAGACTGCACACATACACATCATTATCAGCAATACTCCTGTGACACCATCACGAACATTGGACTCAATGAATTGTGCAGGCTTTCTCCATGTAACTTTGGTTCTCTCTTTTTGACTTGAATTTCTTTGGTTATTAATGAAGTTAAACATCTTTTGATATTTTTTGATGGTCACCTTCTAGTGGCTGCTTCATATCCTTTGCCCATTTTTCTGGTGGATTTTCTTTCCATATGAAATTTAGACACTGATTTAAATCTGTTGATGATGTACTGATATAGCCATTTCCACTGTTAATTCTCCCTGTGAGCAGGGAAGGTCGCTCTACCTTCTAATGTCCTTTAGTGTCTTAAGTTATCACAACTTGGATTTATTCCTAGGTTTGGCTTTGTTTTTGTTGGCTTTGTTTTAACCTATTCTAAATATTACCCTCCCCCCTCAATTTCTTTCTTGAGAAGTTCATTATTGATATATAGAAAATATACTCTTGTGTAGCAGTTTTGTATCCTGTTACTTTGCTAAAATGTTTATAAGGTCTAAGAGTTTCTGGGAATCTTTAAAATCTTTTAAATATAGGTTGAGTATTTGATTTATTTTCTTGTTGGTATCTGTTTATTAAGAATGACACATTATAAAAGAATTTTAATAAGAAAACTAAGACTTGGAGCACTATATTGAGCAAAGATACAGAGAGTGGGTACATCTCAGCCACCTTAGTTTTTGAATCTTGCTAATCACCCTGGTCTGCTTTGGGTTTGGGTGACCTACTGGTACCTAAACAAGGACTTGTGCAGTTCATTGTCCACCTCTGAAGCCACCCCTTATAGTCCAGCAGAGCCAAGAAGACCCAGCCTGTCTAAAGAGAGGCCTATCATGCCACTTTCCTTTCCACTAAGCCCCCAAGCAGCCATTCTACATCCAGAGGAACAAGATCGTAGTGAGTAGTGTGCCTGTAGGCCTTGGGCGAGAGGTAGAATTATCTTACTGGAAAGGTTGTGAAAGTGCATTTGCAAAGCTAAAAGGATTTATTGTAAAAGAAAGAAACTCTTACACAGTTTTATTCATCTCTGTACCATATCTTCTCATGGACCTAAATCATGATATGAAAGATGTTAAGGTGGTTGTCATTCTGGTCAAGATCCATATCATGGGCTTATGAGCTCTGCTTTAGCAACCAAAGTTCTAAACATATCTACATATGCCCAGTTTGGAAAACATTTTGCTGTCTGCGGACATTAAATGGTTTGGTTCATGCTGGCCATGGAAATTTGTCTAGGTGAGCCAGACAAGATGTCCTTCTCAACTGTTCAGGCCCATCAAGCCAGTTCCAATAAGGAGAAGGAATGGGAGCAATTCACCATGCATTATTTCCTGGATGAATCAAAGCCAGAATAGTCTTGTCTGAGACTCTTGTTCTCAGAAGGGGTATGTCATCCAAGTAGCGCTATGTCCTACATTATTGCTCGTCGTTCCCTAGTGGTGTACTGGGGGTTCTTTGGATGTAGACATTTTTCTAAAGCCAACAAGCTGATGCAGAAATCAGGCAAGAAGCCCATTTACTAGGAGCTGTAACCCCTGCCCTGAGGGGCATTGGTCTCTTAGGGCATTTTTGAGGAGCTGTTGCTAAAGTGCTTGAGAATTATGAATCACTGAAAAATTTCTCTGTTACTAAGTACATTATATAAGGAGGGACAGAAAGAATACCAAGAACCAAGCACCGAGCTGCCCTTTCTAGGCAGAAACTATAGACCCTTAGACCAGTGGTTCTCAACCATCCTAATGCTGTGACACTTTAATACAGTTCTTCGTGTTGTAGTGATCCCCAAGCATAAAATAAAATAATTTCATTGCTTCTTCATAGCTGTAATTTTGCTACTGTTATGAATAGTAATGTAAACATCTGATATGCAACCCCAAAGTGGTCTTGACTCACAGGTTGAGAACCACTGCCTTAGATCATCTCTCTGAGCCCTCTAAGCAAGAATAAAATGAGGAACTCGATCAAGGCAAATCATTTAGAGTAAGTAACAGGACTTACTCCAAAATGCCTGTACAGGTGCAGTCAAATACTTGATTTTCTCTACTCCTCCCTTTAGGTTAGAGAGGATACATTCACCAACCTTCAGTTTAGGTGTTTGCCACTCATTTTACATGATGAGTTATAAGCGTACAGGCTACAAAGTATTCTGTGTTTATTCTTCGAAAGCCACCTCCAACTTTTATAGGGTTCTTGGGTCACTCCCCGGAGGAAGTTGCTTGCCTTCATCCAGTAGGTGGAGTTTCTCTGTGTCTTAGCAGCTGCTCCCAAATAACCACAAAGAGGTTTAATATTAATTATAACTGTTTGGCCAATAGTTCAGGCTTATTACTAACTAGCTCTTACAACTTAAATCAACCCATATCTATTCATCTATGTGCTCAAGTGGCTCATGCTTATTACCTCATTTTGTATATGCCCTGCATCCACTATGTCTGTCTGGCTGCTCCTCTGACTTTTCCCTTCTTCTTCCCAGCATTCTCTCTGCCCAGAAAAATCCTGCCTAGCCTTTGGCCAATCAGCTTTTTATTAACAGTGAGAACAATATATATTTGCAGTGTACAAAGATTGTTCCATACCATTGTCTTGTTCTTTTTGAGGTGTTTCCACCAGCAAGTGGTGAAAGTTGAACAAAAAAGAGAGGTGTTGTTTGTTTGGTCTTTTAGGTTTTTGTTTATTTGTTTGTTTATTAAATATAACTTTATGTTCATTGGTGTGAGGGTGTCAGATCCCCTGGAACTGGAGTTATGGACAGTTGTGAGCTACCATGTGGGTGCTGGGAATTGAACCTGGGTCTTCTGAAAGAGCAGCAGTGCTCTTAACCACTGAGCCATCTCTCCAGCACCTTTAGCTTTTTTTTTTTTTTTAATGAGGAAATGAGTGGTTTTCTTCTAGTGATGTACAAATGTTGCTTTTTTTATTTTTATAATTAAGAAATTATTTATGTATTTGGGTGTTTTGCTAACATGTATGTCTACGCACCCCAAGGAAGATTTCTGGATGCCCTGGGATCGAAGTTACAGCCGGTTCTGAGTCCCCATGTGGGTGCTGGGAATCAAACCTGGGTTTTCTGGATCTCCTAACCATTGAGCATCTCTCCAACCCTCAGAGGTGGAGGTTTTTAGGTCATCAAAAGTGTGACAAATGCTGTTTTGGTTTTTATGATTAGGAATCCAACCCATAATGCTATTTCTTAGGGACTAAAATCCCCTTGTGATTTTTTTTTCCTACAACAATAGAGAATTCCTCCGTTTTATAAAATGCTTATGCATATTTTTCCTAGTCTTTTAAAATAAACAGGCTTTACTTGGTCTGTATCACCAACTTAGATACTGATGGAGTGTTTTGTTTTTACTGTAGACAATCCTGAGATAATTGGGAAAGAAAGGATTGTTGAAAGTTATGGACTGGTGAAATGGCTCATCAATAAGTGTATAAAAATGTCTTTTAAAAAATTGAAAGTTTTAAAAGGAAGAACAAGCCGGGCATTGGTGGCACACCCCTTTAATCCCAGCACTCAGGAGGCAGAGGTAGGCCTGGATCTCTGTGAGTTCGAGGCCAGCCTGGTCTACAGAGTGAGTTCCAGGACAGGCTCCAAAACAATACAGAGAAACCCTGTCTCAAAAAATCATAAATAAATAATAAATAAATAAATAAATAAAATAAGATTCATGTGCTTAAATGCCTTGTAAATACATTTAGCCAGGTTTCCAAGAGAGATTAGATCATGAGTTACGTGTGTGCAATATCAGTGGTGGGTGCAGGATGTTTAGTTAGTAAATGCAAAAGCTTCCAGAGATAAGCTCTTAGTGTAGGAAATTCAGCCTTCAAAAGCAGCACATTCCAAGTAGATACCCTTACTTATACCAAAGTTCACTTTGATTAGAACAACAAAGTGTCAATAAAGAATGTCTACAAATACAGGTAAACTTAGTTCTAAATGAAACTCTAGAAAGAAAGAGAGAACGCAAACTCTGAGTTGCTATTTATTATCCTAAAGCAGTGGTGTGCAACTGTTCTAATGTTTCAACCCTTTAATACAGTTCCTCAAGTTATGGTGACCCCCACACACACCATACATTCATTGCTACTTCATAACTTTGCTACTGTTATGAATCACAAATATCTGATATGTAGGATATGTGACCCTCACAGACATCACGATCCACAGATTGAGAACCACTGTCCTAAAGCTTGGACTGCATTTACACCTAGTATCAACAGATTACAACTTTAGGAAGTGATCATTTGCTTGCTGGACACAGTATTTAGTTGTACACACTGACTGGGATTTTCATATGCTTTTGACATAATTTACCTCTCAGCCTCGTTCCTTTTACTGACTTCACTTTCTTTGGCTTGCAAATTTGAAATGGAAAGCAAAATTATCCAACTACAGAGCTTTGTAAAAACTGTCTTCTAAGAAAACTGGTTTATTCCCTCCATGAGTAAGGTGGTTTTCTCTTGAGGTCAGACCCTATTTAAGTAAACAGGTAGTTATTTTTTTACTCTTGGTGTGACAATATCCAAAGTAGATTTGCTAGTGGGATCCCTACATAAATTAGTGGGGAGCTGTGTTGCAGTTGTTACTTAAGCTAGGGTCAGCTGAGGAGCTCATATTTAGGAGACATGGTTAAAGACTTGTTGCTGCTAGAGTTTGGTTGTTTTTTTGGTAGGTCTCCTGCCTAGCCTAGTCTAGTCTGACCTTAGACTCCCTCCTGCCTTCATCTTCCAAGTGCTTGGATTATATGTATGTGCTAACATGCCTGGTTTGAAGACTTATTTTTTCATATGTATATTGACTTTTTTTTTTCTTTTAGGCTGTGCGTGTTACAAAACCAAAAATCCCAGAAGCCATAAGAAGAAATTTTGAGTTAATGTGAGTAACATTCATGGGATCCTACTATTTCTCTTTAGAGCTATTTACATGTTAATATAGCAATCCAGGGAAAGTGCCAAGGAATATGCTCAATCTGGGATTGGATACATAGCTGTCTTCTGTACTTCAGTACAGAATTCTACCTTTTGTATCTTAATGCCCAGTAAATACTTAGTAGATTTCTCTTTATGTATCGACATTTCCAGAACAGTAGTCAAAGACGCAGTTTGCTGTGAAATGATTGCTAGAGATACAAGGAGCTATAATCCATTCATGAATAGAGCCTTGAACAAAACATTAATAAAACAAAACAAAGACGCCTGTTAATGTTGAAAAGAATGCCCTTTTTGTTGCCTTATTATTTAGATGACTCAGTGGTTAAGGGGACTGGCTGCCTCTCTAGAGACCCTGGATTCAATTCCCAGCACTCAAATGGTGGTTCACCATCATCCCTAACTCCATCCCTGGGATCCAGTGCCATCTTCTGGCCTCTATGGGCACTGCAAACACATGGTACACAGATAAGAAGCCATGCAAAACACCCATAACATATTTATTTTAAAGGGAATTATTTTATTTGTGAAAATCAAATCTGGGTCTTTACACATTGCCTGTAAGGAGATCTTGCCCGAGTCTGAGTTGACTTTGGGTATCTTTCTTTATTATGTTTCCAGGACTGGCTAGAGAGAAGTTACCTGACACAGGATTAGCTTCTAAGTGTTTTAGAGGATCTCTTTATGATACTACTTAAAATATTTGAAACAGCAATATTCTCATAGAGTACATATGAAAAGAAGAAAGAAACATCTTTAGAAATTTTGGCTGTTGGGAAGAAATGAGAGATGATGCTAAATTAAAAATAACTACCAAAAAAAAAAAAAAATACAACAGATGAGGGCTGGGCATGTGATTTGTGGCAGAGTGCTTGTTTACCTGACATACACAAGGCTCAGTTCAATCCCCAGGGCACACACATGCATGTGAGTACATGTACACACACACACACACACACACACACACACACACACACACACACAAGCAAGTTTATAGATTCAGGGCCCAAGGGAATAGTAATACTGCTCTGTGGTGTAGTAAACCTGAGTCCTGTTTGTTCCTAGTCTATCTTCTGTTGTGCAGTTTGATTTCTCCTATTTCATTGTAGAGCTGTACTTTAAGAGTAGAGTCTAAAGCGTAAAGTATCAAGCTGGGAGGTAGGTTATGAATCTGAGCCACTAATAGAAATAATGTTTACTCAAGGATCACGGTATCTTAAGCTTTAGATATGATTGCTTCTACTCATAAATGAATTGGATGGGTTCTCTCCTTCCCTCCCTCCCTTTCTCACCGCCTCACCTCTTTCCTCGTTCCTCCTTCTCGCCCCTCTCTGTCCTTATTCAAAAGGGTCTCTCTCTCTCTCTCTCTCTCTCTCTTTCTCTCTCTCTCTCTCTCTCTCTCTCTCTCTCTCTCTCTCTCTCTCTCTCTCTCTCTCTCTCTCTCTCTCTCTCTCTCTCTCTCTCTCTCTCTCTCTCTCTCTCTCTCTCTCTCTCTCTCTCTCTCTCTCACACACACACACACACACACACACACAAAGCTTGAGCTACACTCTCAAACCTGCATGTTACTGTGCTTTATATCCCCAGTACCACAGAGAGGGAAGAGGAAGGGAAGGGACAGGCAGAACCTTTTCTGATTTGTATAATGATGTTTTACTTCACAGGGAGGCAGAGAAGACAAAACTTCTTATAGCTGCACAGAAACAAAAGGTTGTGGAGAAAGAAGCTGAGACAGAGAGGAAAAGGGCTGTTATAGGTACTTGGATTTATTTGTCTCTGACTGTAGGTACTGTGACTTTGTCCTTTGTCAATTTCATGTTGGATAATGAGGGGACTCAAGACAGCATTATGTGTAGTGGAGAATTCCAGAAACTTCATTGTGTGTCCAGATGTCCTTAACCCATTAAAAGTAAGTGATGCCAATAGGTAGTGAGGCATAGCCTCATTAATTTCAGTCTGCAGTATGATTTCATTCTGTTGAACTCTTTACAGTTTGTCATTGCTTCAGCACCACTGTGTGACTGTCCTGTTCAGTGTCTCTGTGCACACGTGCAGGATCATGGGGGCACGGGGAAGAGCCTGTCACCAGCTTCTTTTCCTGAGCCACAATGAAACAGGCCAACTACTGAGAGAATTTAACAAGTTTTTAAAGCATCTTCACACAATTTTTTATATGTTGAATCTAATAATTTTGAGTTTATAATTTTATGTTTTGTTTTAAATTTTACTTTTCTAAGAATTCATTTTTATTGTAGTTTGTAATCTGTTGGTTCCTACTAGATTGAAATTCAAGGAAAAAAGGTACTTGGGGCTAGGTTGTTGTAGAAAACATTCCTCAGAGCAGAATTGCTGAGTCATGCATTCAGGTTTCTCTTGCTGCCAAACTGTTCTCTCCCTGGTTCTTTCATCTTACCTATCTTCAGCATTGAGTTCTGGTTTCTATACTGTTGTACTGAATTCTCCTTTCTCTTTGTCCTCCTCACCTCTTGGAGTTGCCAGACTTCAAACATTCGTGTCAGTTCAGTGATGGACACAGTATCACATATTTTCAATTTTAATACCCCTAATTATTGATAAAATTGTTTATTGTTTTTTTTTTCCTTTAAGGTATATTACCTTTTAGTATCTTAAGCCAGTTACTTGACTGCTTTTTTGAGCTGGTTTATGATGTTCTTTGTATGTTTTGAGTACTAATCCTTCCCCATATTTATGCATTGTAAATTATTTTTTCTTGATGTGTGGATTATCTTTGAACTGAGATATCTTTGAATTATATAAATTTGATTTTCACATAGTCTAATTCATCAAAAATCCAGTGGTTTGTGCCTTATCTTGTTTACAAGTTCTTTTGTCTCCACAGGTACCAATTTTATTCTAAAACTTTAAAGTTCTGTTTTTTTTGTGTGTGTATGGACCTTTAATCCATAAGGGATTTATTAAGTTAATGTTTAATGTGACAGAGATTCGGCTTTATTTTTTTCCAAATGGCAGTCCAGTTATCTCAGACTACTGAGTAGTTCATTATTTCTTCTTTTTGAATGTCATTTATATATACAGTAAGATAAAACATGTAATTTGTTCTCATCTAAGATCTCTGTTTTGTTTTAACTCCTTGTTCTGTAGCTTTCCTGTTCCCTGTTCTTGCTATCTGGAGTTTTTCCTTAGCTGTTCCTGTGGGCTGTAATTGTTGACTATTCTAAACTATTCCTGAGGTTAGACTATTCTAGGCCCTGTATTCAGCCATGAGACTATAAGGACCAGCTCAATTCTGTAAAATACTCAGTTTTGTTGGAATTGCATTGAATGTACACTGATTTGGAGAAAATAGTTATATTTGATACTGAGTCTTACAAATCTCTTGTATTTCTATTTATGAGAAATGTCTTTTTAAAAGTATCATAATTTAAGGTTAGGGAGATGACTCAGGCTGTAAAGTATAAGCATGAAGACTGCAATTCTAAATACCAGAAACACATAAAAATAGGGAGTGGGCTTTGTGGTCCACTCAATTCCCAGTCTCAAGCAGGCCAGCAAGACTAGCTTTATAGACAAACTCTGGTTTCATTGAGAGACCCTACCTTAACAAATAGAAGAGTTACCAAAGATGTCTACTGATATCAACCTTAACCTCCACGTGCCCACACAAACATGAAAACTGGAAAAGGGGAGAGGAGTAAAATATCTTAAAGTCCCTGAGATTTATTAGAAGTTCATTCCCTTGGTGCTACGGGTGGTGGCATACTCCTTTAGTCCCAGCACTTGGGAGGCAGAGGCAGGAGGCAGATCTCTTGAGTTTGAGGGCAGCCTAGTCTATGAAAGCAAATTCCAGGACATATACGGCTACACAGAGAAACCCTGTCTCAAAGGAAAAAAAAAAAAAAGCCATTAATTCCTGTGAGCCTTTTGAAGTTTTCTGTTTCTGTAATAAAGTAGGCTCTTTTATAAAAGCACCTTTTCTAGCTTACCTTTTTTTTGTTGTTGTTGTAGATATGCTATTGGTTTTAGTTAGCAATCTTGTTGAAAATGCTAGTATTCTTAACGGTGCCTTTGGTTTCTTGTGAGCAATCATGTTGTCTTTAGATATAAAGAATTCTATTTTCTTCAGGATATAAACATCACACCCTTCATTTCTTCTTGTCTTACTGCTTTAAGCTATGGCTTCCTATATAGCTTATACAGGAGGCATTTTTGTTTTATCTCTAAATAGTTCCAATAATAGTTGCTGTCTTAACATTTGCTATTTAATGTTTCCTTCTGTTCTTTGCTTGCCAAGAGCCCTTATTAAGAATTACTGTTAAAACTAAGTTATCTGTATATATATATTGAGTGGAACTTATGATTTTTAAGCTGTTAATATGATGGATTGTATTGTTAGATGTTACATTACTGGATTTTTTGTGTGTTACTCTATTAAACCCACTCAGTCATGATATGGAAGGTTCACCATAATCTCTTGTAGGTTTGCTGATACTTTATAAATAATTTTTACTTTTGTTTTTTTATAAATGAGATCCGCTTACAGTGTTCTTATAAATTCTATCATATTTGCTTATTTGCATTTTGTTTGGAGGTTAAGAGTTTGCTTTTTGTTGTGTGCCTTGTTTCTTTCAACCCCAGAATGACCTGAAGAGCACTTATTTCCTGGAACATTTGTATATAATATATATTTCTTTTTCATGGGTTTCATGGAACCCATAAAACATTTTGCTTTAATATGGTTTATGTTTTGCTTGCTTGTACTTTGGAAACATCCAACGCAATTTCATTTTTCAATTACATATAAGTTTATTCCATCATTAATTACTTTTTAAGGTTTAGAAATGTTATTTTTGTTGGAAAATCTCTATTTCATGTAATACTTCAAATGGGGAAGTAAACTTATGGAATTCACTGTAGCTTTGAACACATCCACCATAGTCTACCTTCCCTTATGTTGTTTTCTTTTATATTCTTTTTTGTTGGATCGGTTTTGATCTTTCTTATTTATTTTTCAGAGAACTGTTTTTGGTTTTAGCTTGCTTGATTTATGCTTTCTTTCCAGTGTTATTTCTATGAATATTTGTTAGTTCCTTCTTTCTGCATACTTTGAATTTTTACATTGGTTTTTAAAAATTCTAAAGTTAGATACTTTAATTCATTAACATTCAGGGTTTTTTCTTTTTGTTTGTTTTTAGTGGAAGCTTGTAGGAGTATCAATTTTTTTCCGAGTACTGCTTTGGTCTTAGAGAATTTGTTTGCTAGTTGTTCTTTTATTTACAGATGTTCAGTTTTCTTTAAGATCTTTCCATTATAGTTTCATCATTAATCCATGAGTTGTATCTATTATTTTTTTAGTTTTTTGGTTCTGTGGGTTTTGAGAATGTACCATTTTATTGATTTTTCCAGTGTCACAGTCAAAAGTTAACACCTGTTGTATGGGTAGTTGAGTTGTATGTTGAAATTTGCTCTGCAGCCCTTTTCTGTAAATGCCATAGTTGTTCAGGAAAGAGTTGACTGTATAGTCTCTATTTGTTGGATGCAGGTTTCTTTGGTGATTGGTCACATCTTCTGTGTTCATCTCATTTTTGTCTATGGTGATTGATCATATCTTCTGTGTTCATTTCATTTTTGTCTTCTGTCTACTATCAATTTACTGAGAACATTGGGTTAAAATTTCGTGCTGTAATATTTGTTGACTTTTAATTTTTATCCTTTATTTTGAGTATTATGAAGGGCATTTACATTCAGGATCATTAATCTCCCTGGAGATTTCCTACTGGTTTATAATAACATTCTTTATACCTAAACCTGTTTTGTAGCATAAGACTTATGCTGTCTGATGATAACATAGCTATGTTGGATTTCTCTTGGCTATTTCTTGGTGTATCTTCCCATTCTTTTACTTTCAACTTTTCTATGTCATTATGTTTTAGGTGTGTCTCTTATAAACAGCATATAGCTGGATTTTGTTATCTTATCCAATGTGAGAATCTGTCTTTTAACTGGTGAGTTCTAGTCTTTTTATATTTATTGTAGTTGCTACTGTATTTAGATTTGTATGTTGTTACTCATTATATGCTATTTGCCATGCGTTTTTTTTCTCTACTTCTTTTTCCATTGTAAAATGTCTTTATTCGTTTTTTTCTTTTACTTTACTGGAAGGTTTGCATTCTGTTTCTGGAATGTATAACTAGTCATCACTTGTGAAATGTTAAGTATCTGAGTCAGTAAAATCTAAAGTTAATATTCTCTGTCTTCTTCTTGAATAGTACTTGGAAATGCTTTAATTCTCATCTCTGTTTCCCAGTCTCGTGTGCTGTTTATTGTTCTGTCATCCCTTTTCACGTTGTTTTCATCTTCTCTCTCTTACTCTTATCATTACTGTTGACTCATACAGTGAACATTTAATTCCATTTGAAAGTTAAGTCACTTTTTCCTCTGCTACAGACAGTTCACTTTTTTCCTGCTACTTGGTTGTTTTCTTGTTTTGTTTTTTTCTGGTGAAGGCCAGTCTTGTTCAGTTTTCCTTGGTCAGAAGTGCTCTCATTTCATCCTGCAGTCCTGTAACAAACTAAATTTATTTTTTCTTATCATTTTGGCAGTACTGTTACATTTTTGTTTGGCCTCTTGTATGTGATTACAAGCATGCCATCAAACCGCTTATTCTTTTTGGATAGTCATTCTTCTCCTGCTTTTAAAATAGCCGTTTAGTTGTTCTCCAGCTCTCATGAGGCTAGCAGGTAGAGTTCTTTAGTCCCCATTTCTCTAGGGTTGCAGTCTCTAGAGGCTTGGCTTTATTCGGAAGTCAGTTGGAATGTGCAAGGCCTTATCTGGTCCTGTTGGAGCACTGCCCAAGTCTTTCTCTCTTTCTTGTGGAATAACCATACAGAGTCTCAGCTCTCCTTTTGCTGTGTCATTTGAGGACTTTCAACTTTCATTCTGTCTTATGAACTTGTGTGCATTTAAAGACAAATTTGTTATGTTTTACATACAGGTTAAGGTGTTACTTAAAGGAATTTTCTCACTTGTCTATTTCTACTTTTCTGGAACTTCCCAAGAAATTGAGACTGGTGTGTCTTGAGCTTATGTCTATAGCTAAATGTCCAGCCTGTAGTTTATTTTTTAGTAAGTGTAATACAGAATGAGTTCACTTTGCTGGGTCCTGGGATAATTTTAAAAGATACTGACTGCTGAAAAAAAGGAAACTATTTGGAATTTTTTCTCTGTTACATGTTTTTCCCAGAAGCCAGAGATAAGATATGTTAAAATATCTCTTGGGGTCTTTGGGGTTCTACACCACAGTCTACAGGTGTTTAAGTCCCTTATAGGAAATGAAATGTATTTCATCTAACTTAGGTACATTCTCCCATATACTTTACACCATCTCTAGGTTACTTATACCTGTTGAGATGAAAGTACTCTGTAAACAGTTGTTATACTATACCATTCAGGGAATGATGACAAGAAAAAAATGTTTATTTTTTTAAACACATTTTTTAAAATTTCTGAGTATATTCAATGTGCATTTGGTTGAATCTTCAAGTGAAAAACCTGTTACCACAGAGGACCAAATGCCCTCATTATCTTTGGCTGGAAAGGAAAATTGAGAATTTTTTTAATTAAATTACAGTGATAGAATTTTAAGTGTAATTCATCTTTCTTAGTTGGTCCTGGGGGCTTTGGACAGAGGCTTGCTAAAAGTGTTTAGTTTCTCCCGTGCGTACTTGGATTTGGCAGCTCCTCTCTTTACTATGAACACTTGTTTCCTTAAGTAACTAATTTCTGTTTTACCATATTCTTGATGGCAACTCAATAGTAGACCTTCTATATATTAAAACTAAACTGTTTAGCTTGTCACTCAAAACACAGGCTTTCTTTATTGTCTTCTCTTGTTGTCTGGCTCTGTATTCTCTCCCTATGGTTTTTTCTCTTATACCTATGTATCATCTTCTTTTATGCTTCCTGGCATATCCCAACCAGGTCATGTCCATTATTTCCTATAAAAATATCTTCTTGGTTTAGTTTCCCCTATCCTGTTTTTCTCTTGCCACTTTATACAGTTGTCCTATGTTGCCATGAGTTTGTATTGCTCCATTTTTGTACTGTTTTTTTTTCGTTAGTTTGTGAACCATTGCTGTATAGTCTCATGAAAGACTGTAACTGTTAACCTTTTGTAACCTTCTTCCCACAAAGCTTGCACTACCAACGTAAGATAAAGAAAGGAATCCCCCTTCTCTGAGTTATTTCTACAACAGACAAAACCTCAGTTAGCCATAAAGCCTAATTAATGCTAGACCATGTACTGCTTATTCTGAGTATGTTTCTTTGTTGTGTTATTATAGAAGCAGAGAAGATTGCACAGGTGGCAAAAATTCGTTTTCAACAGAAGGTGATGGAGAAAGAAACTGAAAAGCGCATTTCTGAGATTGAAGGTAAGGCTGAAGTTCTGAGTGTCCTGGACTGCCTCTCTACCTCAGGACGAGTTCTTATTATTGTGTGGGGGAAAGCCATAGTATAATCTGGTCTGGAGGAAGTAGCTAGCCTGACACTCTAGACAAAAAAACAAAAATCACTTTATAATCCAGCTCTCTCCTTAGGCTGTGACTCTAGTAGCTCAGCCTTTCATTTCCTTTTCTTACAGTGGAGTTTATTAGCTCTCACTTTATTCTCTGATGAAGTATAAGAATTCCTCAAAATCTTGTGTTAAGAATATACAAAACAAAGCTGGGTGGTGGTGGTGCTCGCCTTTATCCCAGTACATGAGAGGTAGAAGCAGGTGGATCTCTGTGAGTTCTACACCAGCCTGGTCTACAGAGTGAGTTCCAGAACAACCAGGGCTGTTACACAGAAAAACCCTGTCCTGAAAAAAAAAAAAAAAAAAAAAAAAAAAAAAAAAAAAATGAGGATCTAGAGAGTTGGCTCAGTGGTTGAGAGCACTAGGTATTCTTTTCAGAGAATGAGGTTCAATCCTCAGACCCATGTGATAGCTCAGAACTGTTTATAATTCCAGTCCCAGGAGGATCCATCACCTCTTGTATATAGGTGATGCACAGAGACACATGCAGGTAAAATATCCATATACATACAATAAAATGAATGCATTTTAAGACTGTGCAAGGTAAGGGCAGGGGAGATAGCTCAGTGGTTAAAGAACACATACTACTTTTGCAGAGGACCTGAGTTCAGTTTTAGGCACCCACGTTAAACAGTCATTCATTGTCTGTAACTGCAGCTCCAGGAGATCAAATACCTTCTTTGACCTCTAGGGGTACTGGTCTCATGGGTACGAGCGCGCGCGCACACACACACACACACACACACACACACACACTTTTTTAAAAAAATTTAACATTCAAAGTAATAAACTTAACCACCACCAGTTTGTCACATGTCAGCAGCAATAACAACAAATTATCTGGGGAAAAGATATGGTTCAGTTGTAATAGAAAATCTGAAAGTCTGTAATCACATGATGATGTTTGCTTTTGAACCCAGGGCCTGCATATGCTAATGTTGATGTTCTTAGATCACAGTCTTAAGGAACTTATTTGCTATTTATCTCTCTGTGTCAACTGATTCAAGACGAAATTTGGTGAGGATGGGAATAATGCAATATCGTTGAGCTTTTATGTCTAGACATGGTTATTTTGCTTGAGCCCTGCCTGGATGGGGAGGGTGAGGTGATAGGAAGTTGGAGGAAGTCGAAGAAAAAGGAACCACTAAGAGCAGAAAATGAGTGAACTCAGAAAGCTGTTGTCTAATAGTAATGAACATATTCCCCTTGAAAAGGAGCTGTCCTGAGGATTGAGATTTTGAAAATTGTTAATACTATAACTTAAAGTGAGGCAAACAATTGAAATATTAAGCAGTAGAAAAGGTACTCTTCCCTAGATGAGGGGGTAGAGTGGCAGTTTTCTTTTGTTTAAACTTGCCGTGGCTCTTTTATTTGCTAGATGCTGCGTTCCTGGCCCGAGAGAAGGCGAAAGCAGACGCTGAGTACTATGCTGCGCACAAATATGCCACCTCAAACAAGGTGACTGCTTTGTATGCCACCTCCCTAGTGACGTTGCTGGTTTGCATTCACTTTTCATGGGTTCCAATGCAGTACAAGTAATGTGTTCAGTGTCAGCAAAAGGTAGGGCCAACCCTTCATCAACCAGTTACGTAGCAAGACACGTGGATCCCATTGGTTGGGAGGGAGTGCTGTTATTTATAAGAGGAAGGAGCTGGAATAAAGATAAGCAGACGCATAAGCACAGGGCAAATGCCACAAAACTCTTCATTTGTGCTGTGAGTACAAAGGGGCTCTGAAAAGTTGAGGATCTTTAGGGAAACTCATTTAGACTAGCTTTCCAGATAAGGAGCTTTTCAGGATGGAAGCTGAACTTAGAGCAGGCTTCCATCAGAGACATACTTGCAATCTGGGGGGTGAGATACTTTTTACTTTTTCTTTCTTTTTTTTCCTAGTCAGTGTCATTTATCAAATATGTTGAACAGTGTGTGAGAACCAGGGTCTCCCAAGTGAATTTGTTTGTTTGGGTTTAGGGTTATTTTGGTTTGTTGTTTTCATTCTTTCTTTCTTTCTTTTTTTTTTTTTTTTTTTTTTTTTTTTTGCATCAAATAAGTTCTTCCAAGAACCTGTTTCCAAGAAAGACAAAACAGAAATCCTCAGTGAAGTGAAAAAGAAGAAATAAGGTTTAAAATTCACCAGACACATGCCATACCAAACACTCACCCCATTTAATTTCCTGCCACATGCTTTGAGGAGCCCAAGAGTGTTAGACCCAGGGCAGCAGTGCTCTGAAATTCAAGCTCAGGTCCCCTTTGTGACAAATCATGCACACATACCCCCACACACACACTCACACACACATACACATTGACCCAGGCAGAAGGCACATGCATGCACAGGTGGCTGAAGAACCGATGATGGGTGGGGCAGGAGGAAGAGCTGGTCGAGGGTATGCCAGCAGCAGTATACTGGAGACCCAGACAACCCTGTTGCAAGCTGAACAAGAGTAAAGATTAAAACAAAAGCAGAGCACAGGAAAAAGGAAGATGTTCAGACAAGAGTCTAGATAGATGAAGATGGAAAGATGCAAGAAAATTTGGGGACAGCAGCCTCAAAGAAGGAGGTCTTTATTTATTGGAAATATAGATGGGCACAGGTTCCAAAGTTAGGCCAAAGAGAATGTTTTGGTAACTCTTCTTAGTGGAACCAAAGCCAAAGAAGCCCATCACAGCTGCCATCTCATCTCTTCAAATGCCAAGGGCTCCTTGGCCCTCCTTTTCTCCGGTGTCTCTTTCTTGTGTGCTTTGGCCTTTTCCTCCTCTTCTCTGAGTTCCTTCATCCTTTCCTCAAAATCATAATCTTTCTGCTTCTCTTCCATCTTCTTGTTGTTGACCTCAAAACATTCTTCACGTGATCTAGAGTGGAATGTTCTATGCACAGACATATCCAGGTTTTGCTTATTTTTCTTTCCCTTAATGTGGTCCAGGAAATTGATGGAGTCCTTAACCACACAGCCATAGACATTACAGTAGTAACCTCCCATTCAGGCTGTGGGGTCACCTTGGTATTGGCAGTTGTCTTCCCAAGCTGGAACTCCAAGTTCACCTTGTAGGCCCTGTGCCGCAGAAGCTCCTGCTTTACTGGCAGCACTGGGTTTCTATCCTTTTCTCTCTCTCCTATGAGCTGCTGCTTCACGAAATTTTCATATTCATCCTTGTCCTGGTGAATTGCAAGATACTTTTTCATGTTGAAGACTGCCGGGTGTATTGTGGTACATTTGCATCCCTGACCCTTCCTGCTGTGCACCTATAGTACTTGTATTAACACCTCCTCCTTACACACATATTTCCTCATGTGTGCGATATTGAGATTGCTAAGTAGATCACGAAATTTGAAGGATTAAAATCAATTTAGAAAGGAAAGACATAAACTAAAAGAAATGGTAAGATGTGATAAGATGGCAAAATGTAGATTATCAGAACTTTGAAAACCAGTATAAATGTAGAAACATTTAACATGAGAGGAATTTTGGAATTTTGTCAAGATAAAAGCAAGATGAGAAATTCATACATCTAACAATTCAAATTGATGATGGAGAATTTGGCCAGACAGAATCACTAGGATCTTCATATTGGGGTTGAAAAGATGGCTCAATGGTCAGTGGTGCTTGCTGCTCTTCCAGGGGGCCAGAGTTCAGTTTCCAGCACCAACATTGGGTGGCTCACAACCCTAGCTCTAGGAGGTCAGACTATCTTTTGCCCTTCCCAGCCATCTACACATGTGCACATACAGATACATATAAACAAAAATAAAGTGTCTTTTAAAAAAAAAAAAAAACTTTACTATTAAGATCAAACTTTTTCTGAAAAGGATGATCATTTTATGCCATCTTGAGAAATATCCTCAGATAACATGTATTAAAAAGGCTTTAAGAAGTAATTTAGTTGTACAGTATGACTAGATTGAATTGTAATGTTTTGGCAGAGGATAAGAATCAGCTGAAGGACCAGGCAGTGGTGGTACCTTTAATACCAGCAGTTGGGAGGTTGAAGCAGGTGGATCTCTGAGTTCGAGGCTAACCTGATCTACAGAGCAAGTCCATAGCTACTGGGAAACCCTGTCTCAAAAACAAACAAACAAACAAACAAGAATCAGCTGGAGGGTGGAGATGTAAGGACTGAAAGATGTTAAAGTGCAGAGAGTAAGTGCTCTAGCGCTATGAAAGACAAGAAAAACTCAAGACAAAGAGGGGGTTACTAGGATGGTCCTTGGGAACATCGAGAGCATATATTCTGGGGAACAACCAAAGAGTTTTAAACCAAAAGCAAGTTTGGTTGACTATATCTTGGCACTCTGGTTTATACAAATGCTGGCAGTGAGACTGGTGATGTAACTCGGTTGGTAGAGTGCTTGGCAGCATCCTCGGTTTGCTCTCCAACATCACATAAACCTGAGCGTGGTGACAGATGTCTTGGAATCTCAGTATCTGGTGGTAAAAACAGGAATATTAAAAAGTTCAAGGTCATCCTTAGCTTCGTAGCAAGTTTGAGGACAGCCTGAGATATGAGAGGTCCTGTTTCAAAAATTAAATATTGGTAGAAGCAGTTCTGGTGGTTGGCATTCATTCATTTTATCACAAATGATTTAAACAGCCAACTTCTGGATAAAGGCAAGATGCCAGACTAGGTGATTGCTTGACATACTACATTTTTAAAATTTGGTTGAAGAAGTTGAGTCACTACAACATCTAGTCATGAAATTGTGAAACTAGGCTTTTCCTTGGAAGCCCTACACTGATCTGTTGACATGTATGCTGCTCTCAAGAGAATCAGTAGAAATTCTGTGTCAGCTCCTGGTTGAGGAAAGCTACATGTAATAGAAAATGTATGTAAACCACTTAATAAGCCACAAAAGAAAGACATTATTTAATCCCCAATCTATTAAACAAAACAAAACAAAACCCCATACAACTTATCCTGTATCGAAATGGGAGCTTGTTAAAGGGATTTTAGTTAAAACTCAGCTGTTCAGAGGATAGCCACACTCCAAAGTGAATGCTAGCAAGCATTCCAAGTTGAATCATATTACTCAGGAGAGCAACTAGAGAAATGGTCTTAGGGAAAAAGAGATGACTATTGTACCAAACTATTCTAACTCCTTTGCTCTTGTTTACCCCACACAGCACAAATTGACCCCGGAATATCTGGAGCTCAAGAAGTACCAGGCTATTGCTTCTAACAGTAAGATCTACTTTGGCAGCGATATCCCTAACATGTTCGTGGACTCCTCTTGTGCTTTGAAATATTCTGATGTTAGGACTGGAAGAGAAGTCTCCCATCCCCCTGAGGAGGCTCTTGAACCCTCTGGAGAGAGCCCCATCCAAAACAAGGAGAACACAGGTTGATGCAAGAGGTGGAAATGTTCTCCCATATCAAGATGTGACCCAAGGGGCTAAGTGGGAACAGTGGTTATGTGGACTCTTCAAATTCACAGAGCATTTGTGTTCTGTTGTGACTCTGTTGTCATAGTCCTGGTTTGCCAGCTGACTGCAGGGTAGGACCAGCTGTCTGGCACTCAAATGGTCTTTGCAGTCACAGTTTTATCAAGTACCTTGTATTTGTTCCTTTGTAAGCCAGCGCTCATGAGTGAGGGAAAGTGATGCTAAGATACTGCCTGCACTGGGGTGTCAAACACTATATAACGAGCTGAGGTCTATTGAATAATGTTTACATTGGTCTCTGGGGACGTGTGTGCTCAGACATTGAAGAGAAAGGAGGCCAGAGAAAGGACCACCCGAAGATGGTAAGTTAAAGAAGACTGTGACACTTGAGACCCAGGTTCTCTTTAAAGTCCTGTTCCAGCATTCCTCCATGTGATTAACAGCCGGGCCTCTGGGTTCCTAGGCAATGATCTTCCAGTTGAGCAACCATTTACTTGACACAAATTGTACCTTTCTGTTTTCCTACAGTCAGGTTGGTGGTCTACAGGGACACACACTTTGCCACCCAACCAGAGGTTTCTTGCAGAGATTCCTGATCACTAGTTTATTGCATTAGTAAACTCAGAGATCAAGAAAGCAGCTGGAATTTAAGGGAAATAAAACCTGCACTGCACCAAAGCTGTGGGGCCCTGTGTTTCCTCTATTGGGTGATGATGTTAGCATCACTTCCCAGCCCATGTGTGACTAAAGTGCTTGGTTTTAGCCACAGACAACTACTTAAATGTCACATCTTGGCTGAGCAAAGTTGGGACAAGGGTTTAACCTGACATAGGAGCAATGTGCAATCCCTAATTCACTGCACAGTATTATAATTGCAGGACATTTGTATTTTAAAACTGGATTTGGGGAACATTCATTTGCCCCAGCACTTCTAGCAAAAGGCCAAGGTTCTAGGGCTGCCATGGTTGCTAACACACTGAGTCTCCTTAAAGTCGTTCACAAAGTGTGGAACCAAGTAACCCAGAGAGCATACTCGGCCATCTTTGTAGCCCTCCCTCTGACCCCAGGATGCTGGTATCAAAGTTGCTTTTCCAACTTTCACCTCTAGGAAATCAGAATTCCACTGACTTTCTGGGCAGCCATTGAATTTATTTTCTGTAAGAGTTAACCTGTGGCTACAGGAGATCTACTTCATCTTGACTTTTTCCTCCTATCACATGAACTTTCCTGGAACATTACGCTGCACAGGTAGACCTGAGTCTGCCCAGCTTGTTGACAGCTCTTGTGTATACTGTGTTGAAGCCAGACGGAAAAGAAATGGGGCCACTTCCTGAAAACTCTCAACCGTTGCCCACAACAGCTGAAGGGTTGTGCCAAACATTTTCTTGGGAAAGGAAAGCCCGGATTTGAATGGGTCTTTCCCCCAGGCCTTATAGTGTAGAGGCATTTGTAATATGGAGAAAATAATTTTCTCATTTCATTATATAAATTACCCTTAAATGACTTTGGTGTTCTTTAGCCCTTGTTATAAGAATTTTTGAACTGCATAACTATACCTGTCATATTGTTGCTGCGGATAAGTAATGATTGCCGTGGGATATCTGGATCATTGAGCTTTATGCTTTCATTTCTAGAGATGTTTCTTAGTGAAAGGCTGTTGCCCCAAAGTGATGGCTCTGGGTTTTCTTCCCAGCCACAGGCCCTGTTGGCTGGGTTGAGGAACAGGGAGGGAAGTACCATTGTCAAAGATTAAAGAAAGCACTTCCAGTTGAGCTCCCTATGGGGTGACCTTCCCTGTACCTGCCCACTCAGTGAACTAAGTCTGGCCATCCTTCAGGGATGTTCCTTTTGGTAAATATACACTGTAATCTTTAAGTCTAAATTTATATGTGAAAGCTACCTTTTTAAAAATAAGAACCTAAATAAAATTATTTTCCTACCAGTGATTGTGTGTATTTTGTTTTCCCCATGTCTTCATGCTTTTCTGTTTCTTTTAATGTTTCTAAGGCTGTCTTGCAAGTTTGTTTGCTGATTGAACTTAACTGTAGAGGCTTATACTTTTTTTTCCAAAATAATGCCTACCAGGTATAATTTTTTAAAATAACATTTCCACATTTTCCTAATTCCTAAAATTTAGTAAGTGTTACTGTTGTTTGTGGGGTAAGTCAGGAGCAGGGCATCGAAGAAGGAAGACAACAGGCATTGTGCCCCTTAGAGCCTGTACTAGAAGGAAAACAGTTCTACATTAAAGGGAGGAGGCAGCTTGTGTACATTGTAAGTGGTAGTGAACTAACTTCATTAGTTCAGAGTTACCAGAGTCAGGGTTGGACCTGGATTCTCTCCCAGGGAACATCACACATGGACACACTTGTAACTGTTTTTGGGCCAGCAAGGGCCCTTTACTCTGCTTCTGGGATCCACCCCCATACTGTCCCACATTAGCCACCACAGACCAGGAAGCTGTTGTAGCTATTGATTTGAACTTGTTATCCTGTAGGCTTTGGCATTAAGATGAGTTCTGCCCATTCCAGTAAGAAAGTGTGAATTAGCAATTGTGACTTCTGCTTGCTTTTAAATGACTAAGCCCAGTGTATGCAGGTGAGGAGCGCCATAGTCTGGCTCTGCTGGCCTTTCCAGCTACTCAACCTCCAAGGTTCATGAACGTACCTTCCCTATATTTCCCTTTGTAATGTTCTGGCTTACTTTCCCTCTCTGGCGGCACCAGCTCTCCTTCGCTAACTCCGAGAGTTCACCCTGAACTCTGTGCTCAGTTAGCATTTTCTCCTTAATCTGCATGAACATGCATCCTGCCTCGTGGCCTGCTTAAAGTCTATTATCACAAAAACCCAGGCTCTATGAGGGTGGTGACCGTAACTCTATTGTTGCCTGGGGTTGTATCAACTGCTAACCCCTGAGATGGTGCTTGATCCTTGAGACTTGATCAGTTTTGTTGTGGGGAAAAAAAAAAAAAAAACAGAAGGTGAATGTGGAGTGCAGGACAATACAGTCAAATAAATAGTCTTAACAAAAAGACTTAGAGCTGGCTAAATTCATGTGAATGAAGACTTATGAGATAATCATGGAAAATTACCAGCTATGTTTAAAGTGTTTGCTCATCCTTGCAGGGCAGCTCTTTAGCAAAATATGTTGCTGCACCTACTATGGTAATTTCCATATGGTAACTGCTAGGGTATGTTAGCTTATCTAACCTGGAATGGTAATATCCACATGGTAACTGCTAGGGTATTATAGCAAGGATATCTATAGCTTATCTCATCTATAGAAAGCAGTAGGTTTCTGTCCGAGTAGATGAGAAAATCCACAGTAGAGAATGAGCACAGTGCCTGATGAGTGTGGATAAACCACATTGCTATTTCTCTTCAGGAGCTGAGCTAAGATAACCAGTTTTAAACATCAGCCATGACCTTCCGGAGCATTCCAATAATCCAGGCCAGTGTCTTAGCTTTCTCTTCATCTCTTGTCTTTGTGTAAGCATTGAGAACATACTGTCGGTTTCTCACTTCTAGTGCCCATTAATATAATGTCAAAAGGAAGTTCTCAGGAGGGCTCAGCCAGGAGAGTTGTAGGGAAAGTGAGTTTTACAATACTACAGAAAGACTTGTGAGTAAGCAGAGACAGGAACTAAGTATTGAGAGCAGGAGTAAAGGTTATCGTTGTTCCAAGCTGAAAAGAAGGCCGCTGTGTCTGGCAAGACATTCTAGAAGATGAATCTTAAGATTGTTCTCTAAGATATCTAGAGGAAGACATTATTTCCTTTCTTTGTTGTGCAGGGGATTGAACCCAGAGCCCAGCACCTGTGAGTAAATACTCCGGCAATAACTACTTCCCACCCTATTTGAAAAAAATTCCGTGAATAATCTTGAAGCAGCTGTATGACTCCTTTTAGCTGCAGATAGCAAAATGTAAGGCGGGGGGGGGGGTGATGTAAATATGGGATGTTAAAAGGAAACAGAACTTAGGGATTTGAAGAATTCTTAGCCTAGCACCTGTAAAGAATGACAAGAGAAAACCAGTGTTTGCTGAAGCTCTGGTAGAAGACAGCTAACTGCTGTCCCCTTGATCTTGGGACTTCTTAGTCTCTATTACCAAAAGCCAATAAAATGTGTTTTTTTTATTTTATTTATTTTTATTTCATGAACGTTAGTGTTTTGCCTGCCCATTGAAAGGGTGTCAGGTCCCCTGAAACTGGAGTTACAGACAGTTGTGAGCTGCCATGTGGGTGCTGGGAATTGAATCTGGGTCCTTTGGAAGAGCCATCAATGAGTGCTCTTAACCACTGAGCCATTTCTCCAACCCCTAAAAGCCAATAAATTTATATTGGTTATAAATTACCCAGTTTCAGATACTGTTACAGCATAAAAGGGACCATGATAACCATATTTCTTTGGAAATATTACATGTCTTTGTTGTTGTTTCTTTTAATCTATTTTTATTAATTTCTGTTTTTTAACATTCAAAAATGTGTTTGCATATAAGTATTAGCTACCTACCTACTGTGTCACTAAAGCAACAAAAAGGGCATGTAGTTTTGGAGGTGGGGTGGGTCAGTTGGAGTACGCAGGCACAATAGCGGTGAGTAGCACGACAGGGTCAGTCAAGAGGATCAGTGTGTGGTCTGAGCCGTTTCAAAGGATGGATGGAAGGCAGCCAGCTGAAAATGGTTCTGATGAGGCAGTGACACAGTGATGTGTTACATTTTAAAATGAAATCTCCTGGATTCTCTTGCCTCGGCAGTACCAGGAAACATGAGGGCGTCTCTTTGCAAGTCCCTGTCAGTAACAGTTTCTGTTCACTGGCACAGGTCCTCATCTGTAGGCATTCTCTGAATTCTCAGGACTTTAAAGGTTCTGCTGTCATCTTACAGCTGGGGTTTAGAAGGGTCACTTGACCCAAAAATCACACAACTAACAAGCACTCAGGAGACAGAGACAGGCCAATTTCTGTGAGTTCAAAGCCAGCCTGGTCTACAGAGCAAGTTCAGGACAGCCAGAGCTGCACGAAGAAACCCTGTCTCAAAAAACAAATAAAACCAAAAACAAGTAGCAAAGTAAAGCTTTGAGCTATACCGTCGATGCAGGGTCTTTGTCACAGCCCTTAACCTTGTTCATTGAGGCAATTACCGCAGTTGCTCTGAATTTAGGAGAGATTTCAGAGGGTGTACTGTCTAAATGGAGGCCAGGAAATGGAAGAGTGATTGGGTTGGCTTTCTCTGTTCTCTGTAGGGCCAGTAAGAAGTGCTCCCTCTAGAGGAGCTGGTCAAAATTAACGGCTGACTGCAGAAACAGGAGCCTTTTGGGAGCCTGGGCAAGCAGCATTCTTCCATTACATGGGACAAATGGAACTGAATAGCATAAAAATGGGCATTGTGGATACTATGGCATACCACCTGTATTTAGGTAGGTGGCCCTCCTGCCCCTAGTATGGTAATGGTACCATAACTGAAAAAGTCCCTTTCCCAGGTCATACCCCTCCCTGAAGACAGCCTGTATACAGGAAGTGGTTGGTTCACAAATAAGAGTCTGGAAGAATTACTTGAACTAATTTGCCCTCCAAAATTTCTCCATTTTGCTGTCAGCCAGGATTTGCACCTTCTCCCCGCCCCACAAGCAGGGTTTCTCTGAATTGTTTTGGAGCCTGCCCTGGAACTCACTCTGTAGACCAGGCTGGCCTCGAACTCACAGAGATCCACCTGCCTCTGCCTCCTGAGTGCTGGGATTAAAGGCGTGTGTCACCAATGCCCAGCAGGATTTGCATCTTAATGAATACATTAAGCTGAACTGGAATTCAGGCATGTAAGGGAAATTTGGACAAGCTTCGTATTTGATTCCCCCTGTGCCTATCAGTTCTGTTCAGCCTTGCCTCTTGAACTTGAGTTACGTCTGTATTGGACAGTTCAGCAAGGTGTCACCTCACTTTCCTCTAACTGCATCTCACCTCATGCAAGCACCTCAAGGAGTTTTACTTTTGGAATTCTTCGAGGCCATAAGCTGTAGTCAGTCCATATATAATCTCAACCCAGGCATTCGCAAGAGTTAATACCCCCCTCCCCCGACAAACTGCAGCCGGAGAGAAGTGAGCATAAATGATTTCTGTGGGGTGACCCCCAAGAAAACTTTCAATGGAGGCACTGACCTTCCTGATATAACAGAAGGAACAATTTGAACATGAAGTTAAATTCCAGAAAAAGTTTAGAGAATTACCTGGTGTGTGTCAGGAAAGCTAAATATAAAGTTAACACACCAAGAGTCAGCCCAGTAATAAGACAGTCTCTGCTCTCTTAGACTCAACAGTCTCATGGGGGTGGGGGGAGGGGGTGAACTTTTAAAGATAAAACTACCTAACTGGGAAGAATGTAGCACTAGAGGAGTGAAAAAAGAGGTCACTGAAGCACAAGTTAATGGTATTGGGTTACCAAAAATAAAATAACCCAATACTCAAATGGGCAAGCTATCTCAACCCAGGCTTCTCTAGGAATATACAAAGAGCTTGTACAGTATTCAATGTTGGGGCTAGAAAGATGGCTCAGTGGTTAAGAGCACTTAGGGCTCTTCTAGAGGACCTGAGTTTGTTTCCCAACACCCACATGGCAGCTCACAACCATATGTAACTACAGTTCCAGGACACCTGGTACTCTTGGGGCCTCTGTGAACACTGTACACGTGTGCACTTACATGCATACAGGCAAATATAAAAATACACATAAAGCCAATTTTTTAAATGTTGAGTGTCTGCACTGGCTAGTTTTGTGTCAACTTGATACAGGATAGAGTAATTTTGGAATTAGGAACCTCAATTGTGAAAATGAACCTCAATAATTGGCCTGTGGTACATTTTCTTGATTGATGGTAGATATGGAAGGGCTCAGCTCACTGGGCAGTGCCACCCCTGGGCTAGTGGTCCTGGATACCATAAGAGAGCAGGCTAAACAAGCCATGGCAAACAAGCCAGTAAGCAGCACTGTTCCATGACTTCTGTATCAGTTCCTGCCTCCAGGTTCCTGCCTTGGATGATGGAACACAAGCTGTGAGAAGCAAACCCTTTACTCCCCAAGTTGGTTTTGGTCATGTTTTATCACAGCAATAGAAAGCCTAAGTAAGACGGTGCCATTTGTTACTAGGGAAGCACAGTAAGGTAACACTTCATGTTCTCTAGGCTACCTATAATGACAGTAAGTAATGATGGCAAGACATTGAAATCCTTATACATCGCTGGTAAGGTTGTAATTTACTTTGGACTACTTTTTGACTCTGTTAAATAGTCACCATATGTCTCAGGATTCCACTTCTGGGTATCTATCCAAGAGCACTGAAGCATATCCTCCAGCTGATGAGTGGACAGACCATTACCATGTCATGAAAAGTGACATGAGACAGTGACATACACTGAGCACCGATGGACCTTGAAAGCCTGACGAGTGATAAATGGCATTCTTTTGTATGTACTGTGATTTGTTTGTTCAATTACTTATTGATGGACACAAAAGACTTAAGTGATGAGAGAGACCTGATATCTGAGGAAACTCTTCCAAACCATCTCAGGGCATGTAACCTAGCTTGGGTTTTTTTGTTTCTGTTTTTTCTAGTTTGTAAATGTAATTACTTAATGGTCTTAGAAATCTATGAAAAGCAAAATAAAACATTGGAGTGAGCACTCAGTGCTGAGAAAAAACTACATGCAGTAAAGAGTCTTCAAAATAAAAAAGAACTAGGGAGATGGCTCAGGGTAAAGAATTCTCTGTGCAGTCAGACAACCTGAGTTGGAACCCCCAGACCTAATGCAAAGCTGGGTGAGGTCAGTACCTCTGAAACCCCAGTGCTCAGGTGGCAAGATGGGAGGTGGAGACAGGGGACTCCCTGGAAGTTCAACAGCCAGATAGATAGCTTGGCATATGCAAATTCAAGCAATAAAGAGTGTATCTTAAACAAGGTGGGGTTCAAGAACCAAAATCTAAGATTGTCCTCTGACCTACACACACAGCATACACACACACATCATATACATACTAAAACCAAAAGAAAGTTACAGATTTTCTGAGTAAAAGGAAGAAGCAGCAGCCCTTCTTCAGCTCAGGCGTCAACAAACAAACCTAAGTCCAAAACTCAGAGCAGCCTTTGCCCAGCAGGGAACACCCCCTATATAAGCTTTGCTTCCAAACAAGCAACATCCCAGGGCCGAAATGGAGCTGCTAGGAGTCACTACCCTTGTTCTTGTGGTTTCTGTGATTTGCCTTAGTTTCCTTTCAGTGTGGACAAAAACACGCCCTGGAGGAAGACTGCCTCCTGGCCCAACTCCACTTCCCGTTATTGGGAATATACTGCAGTTAAACTTCAAGGATGTGCCTGCATCTCTTTCCAAGGTAAGGGGCTTCCATCCTAGGGTGTTTGCTTGTGGGTTAAGTGCTCACCTCAGAACCCTGCCCTCTCATGGCGTCCTTTCTCAGTTCGGCTTACCACATGGGCTCTTTGGGGTGTTCCATTAGGGGATACAGAAATGCAAATAATCCTCATCCTTTTAGGCTGGGTCACTTTAGAGGAGGTGAGAAACCTTGACCTGAAGATACTGGTTGGCTTCTGGATAAGATTCTGGGATCAGAACATATATTAAATGAAATGCTGACCCCATTAACATATAACACCAAAGGCAAGCTCGGCAAATGTAAACGTGTATATTATTGATTTATACTAAATTATCTGTGGGAAGCTTTCTAAGGAGCTTCCCACCCGTTCCCTCCCTAACATTGTCCTGTAACACAGCTTGTCTGCACTGGCCACAGTTGGGGAAATAATATCTCCCCAAATTCACTGTGCTAAAATAGACTTCTTAAGATGGAGAAACTGTGTAAGGATTTCTCTGATTATAAATCTTTGCTCTAAATATTTATTAGATGAACACATTGGCACATGCTTTATGACTGGGAATATTAATGCATAACAGTAGAAAAACCCCTACCCTTGACAAGCATATTCTAATAAAAAGTGACTCAGACAGAATGAAAACAAGTCGTGTCTTTGCAAGTCAGCTACAGAAAACAACAATGCAGAGGTGGAAAGAAGCAAGCATTTTTAATAGACTTTACTTTTAAGGCTATACTTTATGACATTTATTTAGTTTGTGTGTGTATGCATATATGTGTTTACATGATTGCGAGCACACATGTGGAAGCTAGAATACAACTTGAAGGCTTTGATCCTCTCCCTCCATCAGTAGGTCCCAGGGATCGAACTCAGGTTATCACACTTGGCATGCACCTTCACTTGCTGGACCATCTCACTGGCCCAACTTTACTTCTTGAGCACAGGGAGTTTTACATATATATATTTGAATTACAAACAAGATTGAATAACATGACTATCCCTTCTCCTTCCCTTCCTCCTCTACCACCCCCCCAACTAAAATCCTACCTATCATATCATATGTCCTTTTTTCTAATCTACACCTGACTCAAAATTTCTGCTTCCTCATGACCTCTGCATCCTTCCTTTTCTTCCCTTCTCACTCTCGTAGCTTCCTCCCCCCTCTTCTCATGTTCTCAATTGAGCACAGGGAGTTTTAAAGTGCAGCCGAGCTCCCGATACAAATGCCCCTTCTACACGGCATTGCCTCTTTACATCCCACGCCAAGTGGAACTTTTTTATAATGGAGGAACTGCATTGATTCATCATTATCATCCCGAGTCCCAAGTTTACATTTGAGTTCTCCCTTTATGCATCCTCTGGACTTGGGCAAGTGTATAATGAATGGTGTGTATCTGCCCTTAAAATGCCAAAATAGTCTCACTGTCCCAGAAATCCCCCTTGCTGCCTTGACAACCACAGCTCTTCTGCTGTCTCCATAGTTTCCCATTTTCTAAAATGTCATATAGATGAGTCATGTACATGTCACCTTTCCCAGTTGGTTTCTTCTGCTTAATAATAAGCACCTAAGAATTCTTCCTCATCTTTTCATTACTCAACAGATCGTTTCTGCCTGAATTACCAATTTACCTTTGGCAACTACAGATAAAATGGCTATAAGCACCCACATGTAGGTTTTTGTGAAGTCCTTAAGTTATCGCTTTCTTTGAGATATCAAGGGACATACAGTTGCTGGATCATATGCTTAGTTTTGTAAGAAACTGCTAAATAAGATGGGAGATAAAGCCATAAAGTTAACCTGAGAGAAGTGTGTTCTATGCAAAAGGAACAAGATCCTGTACTCTGTAGCAAAAGGTACTCAGTAAAGTCAAGGAGTGTCAAGGAGGTGAGTGCAGATAAAATAAGAGAAGCAAACGGGCAAAAGTTGGCCATAGTGCTAAGGAAATTCAGAAGGGTGGATCTCTTGATACTCTCAGGGATTCTCTAAATCATTACTTCTATTCCAAGAGACAGGACTTCAGCATTTTTAGATGGAGTGACATAATGCCACTCAGGTTTTAACCACGTGGCTCTGCAAACTTGTAGTTAGGGGTAGATTGTAAAGATCCTAAGAAAGAGGCAGGCTACCTGTGTAACAGTAATCCAGGGAGATGATGGTGGCTTGGACTACTATAACAACAGAGGAGGAAAGGAGGCTAGATTCTAACTGGACCTGGAAGTCAGGGTCAACAGGATCTGTTGACAGGTTTGATAAAAGGTACAAAATAAAGAATCACAAGTGGTTGCTAAATTTCAGCTCAGCAGGTTGCTACCGAATAAGATGGGAGAGACTATGGAAGCAGTTTTTTGATATTAGCGAGATAGAGTGTACAAAAAGCTCAGTCAGACATGTTATTTCAAAGACCTACAAATTATTGGAGTCAGTATGTGATCAGGTAAGTTAACACATGAAACTGAAATTCAGGGGCTGAGCCCGAATTTACGTTTTTTAAAATTTGGGAGTCAGAATGTACTTAAAGCCATGAATCTGGATGAGTTCATCCTGGCATATGTAGACTGAGGCCTAATCTCCAGACACACCAATAAAGGGATCAGTCAGAGAGTAAGCTGTCTCCAGGGAAACTAAGCAGGAGGAACCAGTGAAGTAAGAGGAGCCCCCAAAGAGTGGGGGAGGAGGGACTGGCTAGCAGACCGTACCCCAAAATACAAGGAAGCTTCATTTTTGGGGACAAAAAAGGATAATGTAGGCTGACAGAATTTTCCCCTGTGGGAGAGGAAGCTGGGAAATGAGTGGAGGGAAAGGAAAGGAAAGGAATGAAGGAGAAAGGACAGGAAAAGAGCAAAAGAGAAGACCCGGGACCCAGAAGAAAACAACGAGCAAGTGGTAACTCCTTTGAACCTTTTAGAAATAAGAATGCCAAACAAAAAACAAAACAGAAATGGATTGCAGGGGAATCAAACCTAGGGCCCGAGCTATAGCACCATCCTCAAAACTGGTTTTCGATGTAATTTTGTTTGGCACTTGATCCTTCATGTAATTTCCAGTGGCTGCTTTGGATTCTGCTGTATATAAAGTGGCTTTGAAAAATCATCCTGAATTGCAGGCGACCTCAGTGTTCTGCTCTCCTTTTGGAGCACCACTACCATCAATATCTGGACATAGTCCTTTGTTTATACCTAACAGTAAACTTTTCCGTAAGCCCCTCCCTTGGCTGCTTCCTCTGCCCCTTGAGACTTTGGGGAGTAGTTTGGGGTTATTCAATTTTTTGAGACAGCAGAGTCTCATGTAGCTACTTAGGCTGGCCTCAAACTCACTACATAGCCAAGGATGACCTTGAACTCCAATCCTGTCTCCACCTACCAAGTGCTGAGATTATAGGCAGGCTCTTGCCACTGCCCCAGCTTCCTCTCTAGTGTTTATTTTATTATACTGGGTTGTATAAGGCCTTTTTTTTTTGTGGCAAGGTTTCTCTGTGTAACAGTCCTGGCTGTCCTGGAATTAGCTTTGTAGACCAGCTGGCCTCAAACTCAAACAGATCCACCTGTCTCTGCCTCCCAAGTGCTGGGATTAAAGGCGTTCGCCACCGCTTCCCGGCTAAATAATGCCATTTTTATGCAAGTATATAAGGTGCTTTGAACATCCCCCCATACCTCACTACCCTCCCCTTTCTGTCCCCTCCCCACTCCCATGAATCCCCCCTTATCCCTCCAGATAGTTTCATTTCTACTTTAATGCAACCTGTACACATATGGTTCTATGTGTCTGTATAAAATACAAAACCACCAATGAGAGAAAACATGCTCAAGTTTTAAACAAATTATTGAAACACAAGTTTACAGGTAAATGTCTGTTGTGGCTGAGGGGTTGCTTAGTGGATAAATCTTTTGCCAAGCAAACATGAGGACCAGAGTTCACATTCTCAGAACCCACTTGAGGCTGAGTCTGTAACCCCAGTGTTCCTATAGTGAGATGGGAGGTGGAGACAGGAGACTCCCCAGAAGCTTGTGATCTGGATAGTCTGGCAGATATAGTATAGAGACAAACAACAAGGGGACTCTGTCTCAAACAAAAGACTGACACCCAAGACTGTCCTCTGACCTCCACATATATGCCATGGGATGTTCAGTTCCCCCACATATATGTACACATACATCAATATATATATATATATAATATTTATAAATATTATATTATAAATTTGGGGAATAAGGATGTAGCTCAGGGTCTCAGATATGGTTCCCAGGATCCCCCGAGACTGGCTTAATTAACTATTATGATTATCTCCAGTTAACATTGGTTTTTCTGCATTGATACAGCTCCATTTTCCTTTATGGCTGAATAAACTTCTATTGAGTGTGTTTACTACATCTTTAGTTACATATAAATGGTAACCCCTTCTAGATCTTTCCCCATTTTTTTTAAGTTCTTCTTTGACATCCAATACCACACTTCTTATCACTGTCTTAGAATTATATACCATTTGGATTACAAATGTAATGTATTTGGTTGTTTCTTTTTTAAACTTTTAACCATGTGATTTGTTGTACATGATATACTGTTACATAAGGATGTGTGGTGATATATTATTTATGATTCAATAAAGATTGTCTCAAGTATCAGAATGCAAAGCCAGCACACTAGTTAGCTATAGAAGCTAGGCTGCGGTGGTACACACTTTTAATCCCAGGACTCAGGAGACAGAGTAGATGGATCTCTGTGAGTTCAAGGCCACACTGAGCTACACAAAATTGATTCAGTCTAAAAGAGAAACAGCTCACACAAAGGAGCTCTCAGCACTTGGGACGCCACACTTTTAATCCCAGGATTTGAGAGGTATAAAAGGAAGAAGCAAAGGGTCTCGTGGGAGAATTTGTTTCCAGCCACACTGAGAACAGGACAGCCCTTTCAGTCGGAGGTAGAGGTGAGAGCTAGTGACTGGCTGCTTTGCTTTTCTGATCTTGAGCTTGAAGCTTGAAGCCCAGTATCAGTCTCTGGGCTTTTATTTTTCATGTTACAAGGACATTTTCATCCATGGATAGAATGTATGTTGAATATATCCTACCCCAAAAATGACTGTCTCTTCCTCTCACTTCCATTAGATTTTAAATCCTCTGACGGCTCCTTGGGTGTGCAGTATCCGATGCAGTACAGATGCTGGGAAGTCGCAAGTGTAAATGAAGGAATAAAAGGACTAGTTACCTAAGGTTAAATTTCTAAAATGAGACTGGTGTAGCAAAGGCCAAGCCCTGTGCCAAACTCTTGTTTACAAATGTCCAATAGAAATATTTCACAATATCATTTACACAAAAGGCTTCTCTCTCCCTCCAGCTGGCCAAAGACTATGGGCCTATTTACACTCTGTACTTTGGATCCTGGCCTACTGTGGTCCTACATGGATATGACGTGGTGAAGGAAGCTCTACTCAATCAAGGTGATGAATTCCTTGGGAGAGGACCTTTTCCCATCATTGAAGATAGCCTGAAAGGAAGTGGTATGTTTCAATCCAAAATACAGGCTACCTTGCCTTGATACCTGGAGATGTGATTACTAACTTAGTCCGAGTCTGTTTTGCACTTAGCAACTAACCACAAGCGTACAATGCTGCAGTAGGGTTCCAATGCAAAGGGCCCAGAGCTACCAAAGATTTGGCAGGTGATAGACACAGTTCCCAACAAGACTGACCTCACTACAAATGACAGACACTTAGAGGTTCCAGGTCGCTCACATTTCTTATCAACTGACTAAAATTTAGGGGGTTTCTATGACTGCTTCAGATTCAATCGTTTTCATAATAACCCACAGAACTCAATAAGGTGCTAGGCTTAGAGTTACACTTTCATTGCATATGAGCAGTCATGTAGGACAGATCTTGGAGGATTCCAAACACAGAGGTTTTCAAGAGTGAAGCACATCTAGGAAGCTCACCTTAGCCTTGGTGTCCAGAGTATAATCTGAAATATATCATTACATGAACATGATTGATGGAGGGGTGTGTGTGTGTGTGTGTGTGTGTGTGTGTGTGTGTGTGCATGTAGAAGCCACAGGTCATGTGTCATTCTTGCTTTTTACTTTTTTCTTGGGACAGCATCTTTCACTGAACCTGAAGCTTGCCAAATGGCTAGCCTGACTGACCAACAAGTCCCAGGAATGAATCCTCCTGTCTCTGTCTCCTTTCACCCCTGTGCTGAAATTATAGGCATGCACCGCTATACCCAACTTTTTAATGTAATGGGGAATCTAAGCTCAGATTCTCAGTTCTCATGTTTGTGGAGTAAGCACCTTACCAACTAAGCCATTTCTTTAGTTCACCAATCTTTGGCCACAATGCTTAACTCTTATCTCCAAAGCCCCCTAAATTACCTTGAGATTGGACGTTCAGGATAATATCAAGTGACTCAACCTTTTCAACCTAGTTGAGTTGTCTTTCGTCATAGCCAGTCCTCATCTTGGAATTATTCAGGGCTCATTATGAATCAGTTCATTAGTATAAACTTGGGCATAATCTAGAAAATATACAGTGAATTTTTTTTGAAAAAAGTCTTCTTACCCCCCAGGACTCCCATGGAGTTTGGAAACTTAGGAAAAGAAAAGGCGATGAAGATCTTAAGGTCATTTTATTGTGGAGTTTCCGTAGCTCCTTGAAGATGGGCATCAAGTCAGGTGAAGTTACCTGTAACTTTCCTCTGTGAGTAGGATTGCGCTAAACCCATGCAAGAAGCTTCTGTGACAGGAGTTGTGACTTAAAGGTCTAGGATTGGAGAGAGGCAGTACCTGGAGTGCAGCTTCACAGGGGCAAAGGCGGCACAGTGGCAGCCACAGCAAATAGTGACCACGTATGGCAACTACTGGAAGGTGAAGGGCAAAGGAGAATGAGGGAGGAGCCTGTGAGTAGCCGTGAGCCTCCCCAGCCATATTCTCATTCTCATTTGGGTGCAGACTCACAGAGAATATTTTATTATTATATCCAAGACTTAGACACGTGTTACACATGCCTTAATATGTGTCAAATGAGTCTTTTCCAAGCCATTTGTAGTTACCCAGATAAATAGAATGAATCCCAGATAAATAGAAATGATTCTTTCTGAAGTATATTATGAATCCCTAACTACATATAATACACTATGCTAGTTGTACAAGGGGAGTGACCTGGGCCCATTCTCACTCAAGGTACATTTGTTCAACTAAAGCAGCTGCCAAGCCTCCCTTTGGACAAAACAAGTTGATTGCATTGGCTGTTTGTGTCCTTCTCTGTTAATATTTTTAATTTTTTTGGTGGTTTTTTCAAGACAGGGTTTCTGTGTGTACCTTCGGAGCCTGTCGTGGAACTCGCTCTGTAGACCAGGCTGGCTTTGAACTCACAGAGATCCACCTGCCTCTGCCTCCCAAGTGCTGGGATTAAAAGTGTGCACCACCAACACCCGGCTGTAATATTTTTAATTTTCTGAAACTATACTTACATATTTTCTCCCTTCCATTTCCTCCCTCCAAAGTCTTCCATATACTTTTCCTTGCTCTCTTTCAAATTCATAGCATCTTTTCTCATTAATCGTTTTAAAATACATTTGTGGTGTGTCCTATGTTTACCTAAATACATAAATACGGCATGCTCAGTTTGAATAGTGTTACTCGTTTGTATATGTTTTCAGAGCTGACTATTGGATAACCAATTGGTGTGCTCTTCTTTGGTGAACAACAGTTTCTCCTTAGTTGCCTGAAGTTCCTCACGTAGGTTTGAGGGCTCTTGGTCTTTACCCTTTCATGTCAGCATGTCTGTTGGGGCAGTCCTTGTTCAGGTCATGTTTACCAGCCATATTGGTGAAACTTTGTGGGTGTAGCTTCTGACGTTCCTAGGACATACAGTCTCACAGGAAAATCCTTGTTCTAACCCCTCTTCCAAAATGATCCCTCGGCTTTCGGTACACAATTGTGTTGTAGGTATGTATCAGTTGGGACTGAGCTCTGCAGCTCTGTATTTTAATTGGTCGTGGTTTTCTGTAATTTCTCTGTCTGATACAAAGAAGCTTCCTGGGTGAGAGGGGAGGACTATACTTACCTTCAGATATAAGGTCAAATGTTTAGATGGTTATTAGGGATTATGCTGACTCAGTGAAATGTGAGTTGTAGGTTCTCTTCCAACACCCATCATTTCTCTAGGTGGGAATAGTTGGCTAGTTTTCAGGTACCAGGCATGCTTTCCCTCTTGTTGAATAGCCTTGCATCCAATTAGAGAGCTGTTGGTTACCACCGAGGTATGTGTGCCACTACAAATCCATGGGATTATCGTTCCATGCTGGTCAGGGTTGTGGATCACAGGCAACATAGATGGGTAGGGCTGGTTGATTAGTTCCCTCCTGTGGAAGCTTGAATGGTGCTTTCTGGAACCAGGGAAGCCAGTCCTCAGGGAAGAAGCTTCCAGATTAGTTCCAGCTCAGCGGCTTCTAGGTTTCTCTGTTCATTTCTGACTGGGTGTGGAAGCTGCTGGGCTAGATTGAGCTAAGGTGAGGGAAAGTGACTGGCCTAAAATGTTCAGTTTTTGCAACTTTGAGAAAACCAGTTTATAAACTTCCCTCACTCCTCTTACCTGCACACAGTAGAAAGGAAACAGTGAACTCTTCCTTCCTCCACCTTGAAAAAATGGACAAACCTGCCATTAATGTTTTTTTCCTCTGTCTCAGTTCCCTATTGCTGCCATAACAAAGCACCACATTAGGGTGACTTAAAACAAAAGGACCTTGTCCCACAGTAGAGATTAGGAGTATAAAGTCAGGGTGCTGGCAAGTTGGTTCCTTCTGTGAGCTGTGCAAGAGAATCTGTTTCCTTCCTGCCCTCCAGGTTTTCTGGTATTCTTCGATATACCATGGTTTATGGTTCCATCACCTTAACCTCCGCATTCAGGGTTATATGACGTCAAGTATGTGTGCACATGCGAACACACATGTGCAAATGTCCCCATTTTATAAGGGTAGTCATTATTGGGTTAGGGACTATCCAATGACTTCATTTCAACTTGATGACCTCTGCAAAGACTCTGTCCAAGTCAGGCCATGTTCCCAGATATGGAGGTTAGCTTGCCAAAGTGTTTTGTGGGAGGGGAAGAATTCAGTGAATAATAATTTGCTAAATGGAAAATCTGCTAAAATGCTAACCGGCCTTCTGATGTATTGGAACAGCTGTAATCCTGTTGAGATTGCTTCAATGTATGTTCAACTAATCAATCAGTTGAAATATTTCCTGGTATTTATCTACTTGGTATTTCGACTACATCTGTGATCTTTAAACATTTATATAATTGCTAGTGGCAACCATTCAAACCCTTAGTTTATTCATTTGATCCCTGGAATCAGGTGCTATTGTTTATTCACTAAAATGTAAAGTTAAGGGCCAGCGGGATCAGTCATGCGATAAAAGTGCCACCCAAGTCTAGCCACCTATGTTTGATCACGGAACCTGTGGTGGAAGGAGAGAACAGACTCCGGAAGTTACCTTTCACTGTGTGCATGGCACAGCATGCTAAGTGGTACAAAGGTTAAGACTTTCATGTCAGTATTACTCAAAATTTGATTTAGAACAATTTAGAAACTCTATAGATTCAGAGAAATGAGGGAAGAAACTACTCTAGAGATTGCTATAGTGTGGATACAGTTTGTCCTTAAGGATTCTTGAGTTTAACTTGGCTCCCAGATTAGCCATGTGGGGCTTTCAATAGCGCCTGGAAGGAGAGCCTCACAGAAGTTGAGAGTGTGGGACCCAGTCTGTCTTTGGCCTCCTGTTTGAAGAAATGATTGCTCCCTCTGTGGTGATATGAAAGAAAATGGCCCCCAAAGGGGGGAGGCTATTAGGAGGTGTGGCCTTGTTTAAGTAAATGTGGTCTTGTTGGATGAAGTGTGTCTCTGTGGAGGCCAGGTTTGAGGTCTCATATATGCTCAAGATACTGCCCAGTGTCTCAGACTACTTCCTTTTGCCTGAAAGATATAGGACTCTCAGCTACTTCTCCAGCACCGCGTCTGCCTGCACGCCGCCATGTACCACCATGTTGATAATGGACTGAACCTCCGAACTGTAAGCCAGGCACCTTAATGAAATGGTTTCCTTTATAAAAGTTGCCTTTGTCATGGGGCCTCTTCATGGCAATAGAGGCCCTGACTAAGACACCCTCTTACATCCCTTCCACTGGCTTTCCTCCTTGTCAAGGCCATCCCAGAGCTGATCTGATATTGGCACCAAGCCCTTAAACCTACAGAAGTATAAGCTAAATAATTTAAACCCCATTTTCCTAACAAACAGCCTCTTCTTAGGACTGTGTTCTCCCCTGCACACCACACTCTCATCTCTCCTCAGAGTCTCCACCCTGGCTTGTATTAAAGAATGACTTTATATTCCTGTACTTACCACTTCCTCCTTCTGAGTGCTAGGATTATAGATATGTGCTACTGTGTCCAGTTTTATGCAATGCAGAGATCCAAGCTTTATGCATTCTAGGTCAGCAGTCTAGAAACTGATTGTGGTGGTGTATAGATGAAAGTTTGTCTTCTGCTTGATCCCACAGCCAATTAGCCCCAAGTAAACACACAGAGACCCTGTGGGACCAGGTGGGACAGAAAGCTCCATCTTCAGTGGTGTGAATGAGAATGGCCTCAGTAGGTAATATGTTTGAATGCTTGGTCCCCACCTGATAGAACCGTTTGGGAAGGAGTAGGAGAGGTGGCCTTACTGGAGGAGAGGTGTCACTGGGTGTAGGCTTTGAGGTTTGAAAAACTATTCCTGGTTAGCTCCCTCCTTGCTTCTTGGCTGTTACCTCAAGATGTGAGCTTTCAGCTCCTGCTCCAGTGCCTGCTGCCTGATGCCATGCTCCCTGCCGTGACGATCATGGACTTGCCCTCTGAAAGTGTGAGCCCCTAATAAATGGTTTCTTTTGTAATTTGTTTGGCCTTGGTCATGGTGTCTTGGCACAACTATAAGGAAGTAACCAAGACACTGATCAACACCCCCAGCCCCTCCTCTAGTATCTCTTTATAGTAACACTAAACAAACTAATCATAATTGATAGGAACTTTTAAATTTTCTAAAAATATTATAACTGAAGGGTAATAGTGTAGCACGATCTGGCAAGAAGGAAAAGACGAGAAAGGCATTTTGGAGGTGGAATCAGCAGAGCTTAACAAAGGCGGGTATGTATGGCAAAGGGCAGAATGGACACGAGGATGCCCCTGAGGGCTGGATTGGGCAGCCGTGAAAACTGATGATGCATTGAAAAAGTGGGAAATCCGGATGCACGTCTGGGCTTACCCAGAGGAAGACATTGAAAACTTACTGCATTGAACCATGCTGCATTCCAGCTCCTTGTTTCTTCTTCTTCTTCTTCTTCTTCTTCTTCTTCTTCTTCTTCTTCTTCTTCTTCTTCTTCTTCTTCTTCTTCTTCTTCTTCTAGATTTGTTTGTTATTGTGTGTGTGTGCCTGCATGAACTTTTATGCATCACTAGCATGCCTGCAGAAGCCAAAAAGGGGACAGTGGATCTCCCGGAACTAGAGTTACAGGGGATTGCGAGCCACCGGATGTGGGTTCTGGTAACCGGAGCCCAGGTCCTCTGAAAGAGCAGCAAGCACTCTTAACCATTGAGCCATCTCTCAGCCTGGTTCCATCTTTCTTCAGTAAGGCTAACATTTGCAGGTTGTAAATTCTGGGGACAGAGCGTAGCTCCTACATTGATCTATTTCAAATGTATTTACCCTCTAACACAGAAAAGCACACACAGAACATGCATGAGTTAGAGAGAGATTAAGGATCAAAACAGAATTCCACAAGATTGAATGATGGTTCCGATTGTTTTTTAACGGAACCAGACAGAAGTCCCTTCCACGGTTTGGACTGTTCTTCATCCACAACAGCCCTCTTTGTTAATTTCTGCCTCCTTTTGAGCATCACATAGATGTTCATTTGCTATGACAGACATTTCCGTTGACTGCACTCTGCATGGCTTGGTCTGCCAGCTCTGAATCCAGATAAGGAGCACAGACAGTCAGGGTAGACAAGAAGACCTGTGGGGAAGTTGGCCTCTAACACCAGACATGTTCTGTTCTGTGTCTTTTCCCAGGACTGGTTTTCACTAATGGAGAGACGTGGAAGGTCCTGCGACGCTTCTCCCTCATGACGCTGAAGAACTTTGGGATGGGGAAGAGAAGCCTGGAAGAAAGGGTGCAGGAGGAAGCCCAGTGCCTCGTGGAGGAATTACAGAAAATGGAAGGTAAAGCCTACAGCCTGTCCCTGGTCTTTGCTTCTCCCGCAGGAGTCCCTTGGCCCATGGTCTGCCCTGTCTTTGAAGATATCACCCTGAATAGGAGGAACACCATCTCCAAAGCTGTAAGTTAGGGCTCTGCAATGCTTTCAGCTGGACTCAACTTGTAACCTTGACGCTTTACTAGATGTACTTTTGGACAAACTACTAAGCTTTTATAAGATGCATTTTCAATATCTGAAAAAAAATCAGGCTGCAAATCAAAACCAATAGAAAGATTTAATGATATAGTAAAATCCATTTGCATAATACCCAATATATTATAGATGTTCCATAATACTACTTGTTTCTATTATTATACATATAACACCAAAAAGTGTTATCATTATAGTATAATACTATAGAGAGCATATAGTATCTCATGCTATAATGAGAATAATGAGATTTATGTACTATATATGCTAATATATACACATGTAATTAATATGACTAGAAGATGCTTGCATCCTAATAAAGGAAGTTTAGAGGAATAAGCCATATGCATAAATCTGAAAAGAGAGGCCGGTTCCTGAAATCCTAATGCCGGATGACGAGGGTGCCCATTGTAGAGGCACCGGGACTGTAACTGGGTGGGAGAGGGCTTGCCTGGCACGGGCAAGGGCCCGAGTTCAATCCTGAGCACTGAGATTCTATCCCCACAGCTGGGCCCTTTGACCCCACCTTTATCCTGGCCTGTGCTCCCTGCAACGTGATCTGTTCCATCCTCTTCAACGAGCGCTTCCCGTACAGGAGCAAAACGATCCTCAACCTCATGGACCTTTTAAATAAGAATTTTCACCAAGTAAACTCTGTATGGTGCCAGGTAAGATGTAGCTTCTGCCCATGTTTGTCACTGTCCTTGTTGGTGTCCTGGAAGCCTATTACAGAGTCAAAGGCTCTGGGTTCCCTTGATGTGTGAGCACAGTGCCCTTCCGTCTGTGTACGTTGACTTTAGCTCAGCATCTGCCTGCTCCAACTGGTCTGTTCAGAAAAATTCGTAATTCCTGAGTGTAGCTCAGTTGTAGAGCACTTGTCTGGTGCTGGTGAAGTCCAGCTGCAAACTAAAGAGAGAAAGAAGGGTGGGGCGGAGGGAATCGGGGAAGGCCATTCCCAGACGTTTCCACAGAAAGCCACTCAGTGCATTTCTCCTCCCTGACTCGGGCTGAGCAGAGGTAGGACAATCCCTAGGTGGAAGGAAGGGACACTCCTCTTTCTTGTCACTTCTCCTCCCCTTTCTGTTCATTCCACCACTCCTCCCTCACGGATGAATTGCTGACAGTTTTTATGTTTGCTCACTTTCATTGTTAGATGTACAATCTATGGCCAACATTTATGAAGTATGTCCCTGGAAAGCATAAAGAAGTCCCCCAAAGAATCAATGATATTAATAACTTCATTCTGGAAAAAATAAAGGAACATCAGGAGTCCCTGGATCCTGCTAACCCTCGGGACTACATTGACTGTTTCCTCAGCAAGATTGAGGAGGTACGGGGCCTGGGGAGGGGACCCCTTTCCTGTGTGTCTTGTAGCCTGCATGAAGATGTAGGAAAGCAGGGCCACATAGGGAGCAATTGTCATAATCCTGATACTTTATGGCTTGCTGGATAAAGGATTTGAAACAAATGCGCTACAAAATGGCGCTACAAAATGAACCATATTAAGTGATGCTGAGCATACTTGGTGACAGCTCTTGCATAGCATCGGTCCTCAGAACGCCACTGAGCAGGAAACACGGTGCGACTGCAGAGAACAGTATGATTCCGTAATCACACCTAGAGCTCCAAATCTGTTTTGAAAATTTGAAATTTAGTCTGAATTTGAAAATTAGTTTTGAGTTTCTGAGTTCTGAAAATTAGCCCTGTCTATATAAGAGTCCCCCAGCTGTAAAGATGAGAGGAAAATGCCACTCAACTGTATCGTAAGAACACCATAACCAGCCTTACCCTTTGGGAGGGCTGACTTGTAAGGCCAGCCTCCCTAGAAAATATGTCTGAGTGGAGAGTGTCCTTTCACTGCTTGTAGAGTTCCCTGGATTAGTTGAGGTATTTACACTTCTTCCAGTTACCAAGGTCTGTTGCAACAGCCCATTCATTTTGGTGAATGTTAGGGGGACAACATGTTTCTCTGGAAAAAAAAAAAAAAAAACTATCAAGGTATGGAGGCGCACACCTTTAACTCCAGAACTCAGGAGGCAAAAGCCGGCAGATCTCTGTGCATTTGAGGCCGGTCTGGTTTACATAGCAAACAAGTTACAGAAGAGCCATAGAGCTGGGTAGAAAAGGGAAAGCTGGCCAGCCATGCACCAGTGACCTTCCTACACTGGGCTTCAACAGAGTTTATCAACTTTCATTAACTACAGCATGAGAACTTGTCAGGTGTTTGTGCATGAGGCATTGTTCTGAGCGCTTCCTGCCCGTTAACCCTCCCGTCTCCGTTAGAGCTTCGTGAAACTCAGGGAAGAGATGGGGCCTAACCTGAGACTCGAGCTCAGGGCATTCAACTTCATGACTGACTGCTCAGCTCACAACAGTACAGCATACAAACGCAATCTTGTTAAAAGCGTGATCTTGGGCGGGGGTTGGATTTTGAGAAACTATCGACTCCTCTTTAGCTCACAGAGCCCATAATTCTACTACCTGCAGGAGAAACACAACCCGAAATCTGAATTTGATCTGAAGAACTTAATAGCCTCTGGGGCCAGCTTGTTTACAGCAGGCACCGAGACAACCAGTATCACCCTGCGATTCGGGATTCTGCTCCTGCTGAAGTACCCAGAGGTGCAAGGTACCTGGAGGAGAACACAGTGTTGGAAAGAGGGCGAGGCTGCCACACTTCTGGGAAGGACTTGGGTTTTGAGGAACAGAATTTTGTCCCATGGTGCTAATAAGGAAGAGGGATGTTTAGGAACTAAGGAAACTTTCATTTAAGTTCAAAAATAGGACTTATGAATCTCAAACCTCATATGTTAAAAAGACACAAAAAATGAGCCATAATGAGCAAAAGATGTAATGAGTTCCAGGCTGAAATCACACTTAGACTCAGTAACACCTGGCTTGTGACCTTGAAAGACCCCTGAAGAGGTACTTTCGTAGAAGGGGACCCGCACCCAGGAATCAGCGAGACCACGAGCTTGGATGCAAAACTGCAAGAGGCTTTATTGGAGATACAGGTACCCGGGCGACTTAGCTTCTGTGAGGCCAAGCGCGCCGAGCCAAGGGAAAGGGGTCCTTATATAGGGAAAAAGGCGCAAGCTAGGAGCAGGGATTCTATTGGATAATTCTAATGAGGCATTGTACAGAGCTATTCCCATTGGTCAATGTATATGAGGCGCTATACAGGGTTATTCAAATGAGGCAAAGTACAGAGTTATTCAAATGAGGTGAAACACAGAGTCTTTCAAATGAGGCGAAATACAGAATCATTTCTATTGGATGGTTCAAATGAGACACAGAGCCATTCCAGATCAGCATATTCTCAAGGTCTGGTGTCTGGTACAACAGACTCAATTCCCCCTCCCTCCGCGTCCAGATGGCTGACCTTGGGGGCGGAGACCTTGGGACGGAGTGTTTCTCATCGGGCGGGGCTCAGGGGCAGGGCTCCAGGCCGGCTCCACTTGGTGTTTGTTCTCCTGCCGGCCCACCTGGTGCTCGTTCTCGGGCCGGGCGTGCAGCGGGAGGCGGGGGAAGGCCGCCGGGGGTGGGGATCGGGGAAGCCGCGGACAGGAGGAAGAGGAGACAAACTTGAGAAAGAAAGGGCTAAGGGGCAGGGGTCTTTCAACCTCAGGTGTTCTTTCATCTTACAGGCTTCTATTTCCCACCTTTAATGTGCACCAAACTCCCCAAGTGGGATTCTAAACTCCGATGTAATTTTTATATTTCTTTTTATTAGTATATGCTAGTTACTTATAATGATGGGTTTCATTATAACGTCTACATGCGTGTATATAATGTACTTAGATCCTATTCATTTCTTCTCCCATTCCCATTCCTGCTGGTCCCCTTCCTTTTCTCAGATAGTCCCTTGATTTGGGTTTTGGTTGTGTGTGTGTGTGTGTGCATGTGTGTGTGTGTGTGCGCGCGTGTGTGTGTGCGCGCGCGCGTGTGTGTGCGCATGTGTGTGTGTGTGTGTGTGTGTGCGCGTGCGTGCGCGTGTGCGTGTGTGCGTGTGTGCGTGTGTGTGTGTGTGTGTGTGGTGTACCAATGAGTTTAGTTAGAGCTGCTTACAGGAGATGGGGGAGGGGTTGCTCACAGGAGGTGGGGGAGGGGTTGCCGACAGGAGAATGGGCAGCCTATCAGTAGCTGCACCATTGAAGGAGGTTGCCATTGCCCTTCTATGGCAACCACTAACTGCTTAGATCATCAGGTGGGTCTCAAACGTAATTGTAAAGTGAAATTCAACAATTAGTCTACAGTCTGCAGTAGGGAAGGTGGATAACCTCATGCCTGTTCTCAGAGTACAAACTGTAGGAGATCAGTATTTACTGCTCAGAATACAGTTGCCATTCCCCCGGGAGACGAGGGAAAGTGAGAGAAGCTGATTAAGGTGCTCCCAGCAGAATAAGGAGCTAACGTTTTCCCTCTGTGGCTGATTTGCTGGGAATCACGTGATCAGTTGGGAACAACCAGGTCTTTTCCTAACCACACTTTGCTTCCAACAGCCAGGTCTTTGGGATTCACAGCAAAACAGGGCTGCCTAGCAACACACGTTTGACTCCGACAAAGCTTTCTTCGCCAGGCCACTTTCTGTCACTCTGTGGAAGTATCTCTAGGTCTCCTGGGAATGTAGGTCTGAGTAACCCTTACAATGTCTCTGCAGCCAAAATTCATGAAGAAATTGATCATGTGATTGGACGTCACCAGCCCCCCAGCATGAAGGACAAAATGAAGCTGCCCTACACCAATGCTGTGTTGCATGAGATTCAAAGATACACCACTCTCCTTCCTTCTAGTCTGCCCCATGCTGTGGTCAAGGACACAAAATTCAGAGACTATATCATCCCCAAGGTTAGTTGGGATGGAAGGGACACCATGGCACCTGCTGGGGTTGGGGCGGGGGTTGGGGGGTTGCTTTCAGTTCTGTGGCTGGGAGAGTCACCAAAAGAACACAGTGTCACAGACAACCTGTCACCTATGGGCCTAGTTTCTGACTACGTAGGCTATGGGAGGCTGACCTAAAGCTTCCCAGGCCCCTTTCTGTCATGGAATAAATGAGCAGTGGCTTTGATGAATAAGAAGCTCACCTGATGTTTTTATGGTGGATTTTAAAAAGGGTGACCCTGGGAAGGGACAGCAGTTCTAACCCTGAGCTACATCATTGTCTTTAATCTTGATTTTCAGTTACTCAAACATTTGGGCTATCGCTGCCACCGACAATTAATATGTGCTTGCTAGCGAGGCAACAAACCTTCCGTGTCTGCATTTAATGGCTCTATAGCATATAATGCGGAGAAAGTAGACCAATGTGTGCAGTTGCTGGGAACTGAACTCAGGACCTCTGGAAGAGCAGCCTCTACTCTTAACTGCTGAGCCATCTCTCCAGCCCTAGATGCACTGTTAACAGGAGTGTCTGGCTTGCACGTGAGCTAACTCATGGCAAAGTATCACCATGTTCTCCACCCTTGATTCCAGGGCACTGTTGTACTCCCACTACTGTCTTCCATCTTGTTGGATCATAAGGAGTTTCCCAACCCAGAGACATTTGACCCGGGACACTTTCTGGATAAAAATGGATGCTTCAAGAAAACAGACTACTTTGTTCCTTTCTCCCTCGGTAAATACACACGTTTCAGGCAGTTTTTAGCTTCGCTGAATTATTTCATAAGTAAGTGATCCACTGATGCAAAGTCACTTGATCAAACTGTCATAATTTCCCAAATCTAGAGGAACATTTACATCTATATGATGGTTACACGAGGTAAGTCTTCCAGGAACTCTTTGTGGGTTGGCAAGGCAAGCTTTTAAGGAAAACAAACATTACTCAAATTCAGATGTCACCTGTTGCCTGGCGATAAAGTAACTCGAAGTTGCCAATTTTATCTATTGATTTCCTTTTGCAATATTAACTTTTCCAAAGCACATATACAGATGTCTTCATTTTTAACTGTTAATTATTTTTTAAATCTGATTCACAGAGCCAGAGTCCATCAAAGAACCTTAGTCACCTCCACCCGTTTTTTCTTCTTCTTCAGATTTGGTCTCCAGTTATAGACACTATTAGGTCATAATAACGACTTGACATCACCAGCGTGTCTTCTCACTGTCAATCTGTGCGTTTGTTTGATTAGCATTAAAAAAAAAACAGTTTAAGGAGCTTGGGATTGTAGTGGTAAACCAGTTGTCTACAGTATGGTAAGGTCTGAGGTTTGATTTCTAGGCCTGCAAAAATCTATCAATCAATAAACAAATCAGTAAGTTTAATATGCATTGTTTCTAATTACAATGGTAATAAGTGTTCAACATAAAATTCAGGGAACCAGGTTAAGAGAGGGAAGTAAAAATGACCTGCAATTTTCCATCACTTGCTGCCTTACTACAGGCCCTTCGAACAGTGTCATGGTATCTGCATATGTAGGCTTGGTTTATTCTGCACAATCTGTAATAGTCTGCCTTCACATACTACACTGTGATTAAAGATACCAAGTAATCTTCCACGAAAATGCTTCCCGGTTGCATTGTATAATGGATCCATAAGGATTTGCTTAACCAGTCCTCTGTAGAGCCAAATCTAAGTGTCATTCAGTCTCATTATATCATAAATAATGACTTAAGTGCTGGCCTCAAAGCCTTGATTGCTCCTACAGATAACCCCTTGCAAGTGTTATTATTGCATTGAAGATGAGTATTTCTTTTGTTTGTTTTGTTTTGTTTTTTCCCCTCATGACAGAGTTTCTCTGTGTAGCTTTGGATCCTATTCTGGCACTCAATTTTTATTTATTTTTTTTTAAATTTTATGTGTATTATGGCACTCAATCTGTAGACCAGGCTGGGAGTGTTTCTTTAGAGTGTTTTTCAAAATTTTTATTTTTTTAAATTTTATGTGTATTATCCGTGTACATGTGCAGGTAGGGGCCTGAGGAGGTTGCAAGAAGAGTATCAGATTCCCTGTAACTGGTTAGAGCTGTTTGTGAGCCACCATGTGGGTGCTGGGAATCTGGGTCCCCTTCGAGAGCAGCAAGTGATCTTAATCACTGAGCCATCTCTCCAGCCCCTACAGTGCTTTGATAAGTGATAATTTGCTGTCCTCCAGAGTGTTCTGATTGGCATTTTCATGGCTCTCAGGTCTCATTTGAACATGATGAGAACTGATGTGGTGTTTTCTCCTTCCAGGGAAGCGGTCCTGTATGGGCGAGAGTCTGGCCATTATGGAGCTGTTCCTTTTCCTCACCACCATTCTGCAAAAGTTCTCCCTAAAGTCTCCTGTCGAGCCCAGGGACCTAGATATCAAGCCAGCAGCTACGGGGCTCATCAACATCCCACCACCTTATAAGCTCTGTCTCATTCCCAGATAAGAATTTATCCATTCAATCATTCAAATGGAAGTGATTGGTTCCTTTTCCTGTAGGCTCTTTGTTCTGTCTAGGCGAGAATCATTATTCATTAAAACCACTCGGGCATTTGTTTCAATCTACAAATTCCTTGACGTTAAGGTCCAGGTCCTGAAAGCTCCCGGAACAAAAGCAATGTGTCTGTGTTCCTCACCTCATTATAAACCAGGCCCCAGCAGAACTGACACCAGGCCCCTGAAGGCCTTCATTAGACACCATCGGCGGCAGGCAGCAGAGCTTCCTCTGTATGGCTTTGGAAATTAACTGATTTTTCTGTCACTTTTACAATAGGGAAATTAATGTAATGACCTATATACACCTTCCCATTCTCACTTAGAAGCATTTATATGATTTGAATCACATTCACAAAATAAATTTTCACCCTAACAATAGAGTTTCTTTGTATGTTTGACTTTATCTCAAGTCTCAAAGAAAAGTCTGTCTCCTTGGCCTGTATAGAATCCGCTAGAGGGATGAGGCAGACAGGTAACCTGTCTATCACAAAGCTCTCCCTGCTCCCCCTCCAGCTATTTGCAGCCATTGGTTTGCTCGTGGTTCAGAGAGCGTCCTTGGGAAGTTAAACCACATCTAGTATTAGGACTCAGACATTTATGACCGGGCTCTCTTGACAGTCACGGGCCTGGAACTGGGGGCAAAGAGCATGAGCGCAAGTGGCAAAAAAGACTACACCTTGCCAAGAGAACAGTGGCTACACGGGAGATCAACAATGGCAGCTGCCCTAGAAATGGCTGCAGCAAGTTCAGTGAGCAGCAGCTGCCACCAATTGGGTCAAAAGCCAACAGCCAGGCCTGACTGATCTAGGGACACTGGAAATGAGAAAGAGTGAAGACAAAGCTGAGGCAAGAGGATAAAAAGACAGGCCACAGACTGGGGAAAACATTCTTGAAGGATGCATCACATGAAGAATGGCTACCCCCAATCCTCTTGAAACTCAATTTGAAATTGAAACAGTTAAGAACCCGGCATCAGAGCACAAATGTCCATCAGCAGGAACGCAGATAGACACAATGTGTCATATATATGCAGTTGTTTGCTTTCTGTCTTTAAAAGGGAACAAATTCTGATACATATTATAGCACAGAAGAACATCCAGGACATTGATAGGAATAAGGCGGTTGCAAAAGCACAAAGGTTTGGTTGTGCTTCTGAGAGGTACTTAGGCAATAGACAAACTAGGCTAATGGTTACCAGGCAGGGAGAGCGGAATGGAGCAAGTCTTTATTGGGAATAGAGTTTCAGAGGAAGATAAATATGTTCCAGGTAGATGTGGCAAGTGATGGTTGCTCAATAATGCAAATGTACACAATGGAAATGTCGCTTGCCTGTGGTAAAGACAGTAAAGGCTATGTTGTGTGTACCTTACAAGTATAAACATGTATACCAGAGGTACTTTAGGTGAGGATTTTGAAACAGCGCCCTTTGGATCTAATGATTTCTGTGGCTTTCTGTATATTTGTATTGCTTGTTAAGATAGTCTCATGAGCCCAGCTAGGTCTCAAACTGGCAAACAATGTGGTGAACCCTTGATCCTCCCGCCTGCCCCCCACCAAATGCTGGGATTTGGGATTATAGGCACATGGCCACAGATACTCTAGTTAGTGGTTAACACACAACTGTTCCTTACCTTTCTCCTACCCTCATCATTTATTTTTCAGCTTCTGGGCATTTTGCCTCTTTCCCTCAGATTCCTCTCTTCCCATGCACTTGAACATTTAGAATCAGCCCACTGAGTTTTCTGAAATCAAGTTCTTTCTTCTTTTTACTTTTAATCATCCAGAGCAGGGCATAGTGTTGTGCCTTTAATTCCAATCTCTACAGAGTGAGTTCCAGGTCAGCCAGGGCTATATAGAGAGACCCTGTTTCAAAACAAAACAAACACGAAACTTTTTCTTCTTCTTTTTTTTTTTTCTTGCCCAATCAATCTTAAAGTCAACAGATTTTTTAAAAATCATATACATTTTATGGTATTTACATGATTTTTGATGTATTTTTTTCCTAAAGCACAAAATTTGCTTGAAAACATGAGTTAGGCTAAGTAGATAGCCCTGTTGGTAAATGTGTGCTAGCAATGTGTGCACGAGGACCTGAGATTTCGCTCAAAACCCATCTAAAGAAGGCAGATGTGGTGATGGGATTGTGATATCTGTACCGGGAGGCAGATCATGTAGAACCCTAAGACTTGCTGGCCAGCCAGCCTAGCCTAAGTTAGTGAGTTTCAGGCCAGTGGGAGAGCTAATGTGAAGATTTCTTGGGTGTACAGAAGGGAAGGATAATATCCCACACGTGTCACAAAGGTAAACTTCTGCAGAAATCCCTGTGGCCATCCCTCCAGCCCCAGACTCTGTCTTCTCTTTCTCTGACTTGAACCCCTCCCATCCAATTCCCTATTTCCATGCCAATGTCCCTCTCTTGTTCCCTCCCCTCTTCCTTTTCCCTTTTATGTCAGATAGTTTGGTTTCTTAGTTTCCATCAATCCCAATTACTCATGAAAAACATCAAAGAGAACAAAGAGGCGATGACAAAGCCGTGCAAACAATGGGTTCTCTAGGTGTGAATGAGGGACAATTATAACATTATATATAGTTAATTTCATTATATAAACTTACAGCATTTCTTCGCTCTGAAGAATATCCTGTGACACTGCATAACATTCTCAAGAGATTTCTGGAAGCACTCTTCCACAGGGAAGTTTAGTACCATCAAAAAATATCATCTTCCACTCATTAAGCAGGTTGCTGTCATCCTGTTTCACCTCCCCCTGAAAATACTGAGATATATAAGGTCAAAAACCCTGATGCTAGCTGGGCGTTGGTGGCGCACACCTTTAATCCCAGCACTTGGGAGGCAGAGGTAGGAGGATCTCTGTGAGTTCGAGGCCAGCCTGGTCTCCAGAGCAAGTGCCAGGATAGGCTCCAAAGCTACACAGAGAAACTCTGTCTCGAAAAACCAAAATAATAATAATAATAATAATAATAATAATAATAATAATAATAATAAAATAATAATAATAAAATAAAGCCCTAATGCTTAGAGGGTAAGGAGTTTGGCCAGGTTTGCCCAGATCTCAGTGTTAAAGCACAGTGCTGACACAAAGCCTGGGGGTTTCCACTCTGCTACCCAGCTCTCCAGAGAGGAAGTCATTTCATCTATACAGCCAAGAGGACTTCGGTCCTGAGCTGTTGAATGAACCTCCCAAGATCCCTTCCAGAAATCTTCTCAATTAAATCAGGAGACACCAGTCTGTCTTTACGGCGGAGGAGAGTGTCATAACACGGAGTCCAGGCTTGCCTCTAATCTGTGATTCTCGTTCATCAGCTTTCTGGGTCTTGGGACTAAAGATGTGTGTCCCCATACCCAGCTGACATTAGTCCTTTAATTTTCAAGGACTGCATAGCAAACAACCTGACCTCTTTGTTAGGTCGGATGGAAGTCACCTCCAGCTTTCCTTTGGAGATGTCTGGTCCTGCAGGATGTAGCTCCCGAACCCTTAGTTTCCTTGGGATCCAAGTATTCTGAATCTATGTTTGTGACCCAAGTCCAACATAGCTGGCAGAGGATGCCCTGCCTTAAGGGTCAGGGCTCTTCAGGAAATTGCTAATAGTCTACATAAATGATCTGTGTAGCTTTTTAATCTATCCCTCAACCATAGAGACTTCTTGACAATTTTGGTTTCTGTTTTACACTTTCTTATTAGCATACTGCATTTCGCTGCTGGAGAGATGGCTCAGAGGTTAAGAACACTGGCTGCTCTTCCAGAGAGGGTAAGAAATCAATTCCCAGCAAACATCTGGAATGAGATCTGGCGCCCTCTTCTGGTATGTAAGCATATATGCAGACAGAACAGTGTATACATAATAAATAAATAAAATATTGTATTTCTCTGGATTCAGGGAGAAAACTATTGAAAGACACATCTCTGTTTCAGAGGTATTAAAATGTCAAAAAAAAACCCCGCAGCATCTTAGAATCAATGAGACTCATTTGCCTCTTCTAGTTAATAGGACGACTCAAAGTCTGGCAGCAATGGCCCCTTCCTCGTGGTCATTTACAGATTTACAGCATGGTCCTGGTTTCCAATTACCTTCTGCCAGATACCCTGATAGCCTCATTGAGGACAAAATCAGTAAACATACATCACATTCGTTTCTTCAAAGTTAGAAAGAAGCGTTTTACTCCTGACCAGAGAAGTACTGTAGTGTAGACTGTTTACACATTAGGCAAGCCCAGTACACAGAACGGATCCAGAGTCCACACCACACCAGCATTCCATTGGCTAGAGATCAGTCTCAGGCAACATGTCACTGAACCAATGGTCACGATCTTGGAAGTAGGGTTAGTGGAGGCAGCTGAAGAGCCTTGGATTCTAAAATTCCACATAGTCATTCTCCACCCTGCTCTAAAGTCAACAAAATGTAAGCGCAGAGATGAGTCCATTGCTTGTTACTGCTTTTCAGCATGAATATTTGTAACATGCTGGTGCAGCCTGGGAACTGGGGATCCAAGAACAAAGTCCTCAGGCACCTCATGTGGTAAATGAGGGAGACATTCAAGCCAGCAATAACAGCAGAAGCCAGGCACGCACAGAGCTCTATGAAAATGCCAGGGAAGGACAGTGAAGTCAGACCAGGAAAGCAACAGGGCATGCTTTCAGAAAATAAGGCTTGAATTATTTTTTGACACAAATAGGTGTCAGCCAACTTCCAAGTGGAGAGAGGAGAGCGATCCCAGCATCCAAGAGGATCCTAAAGGATTGGATGACGCTGGATATTGCAGGAGAGTCAGGTAGTCTGACGGTGGGAAGGCAATACAGCACAGTTCTGGTCCTGGAAGGCCTCTGCCAGGTAAAGAATTCTGGACTTGGGACAGTAAAAAGGCAAGGGACTGAATAGTGGAAAGAGGCACAGGGAGTGCAAACCTGGGCACAAGGTAGGTTGGAGACTGTC